CTCGCGCCAAGCATAGATAGAGCCTCTCAAGCCACTTGGCAACTAGCAGGGCCTCACCAGTCACCAAAAAACACCAAGCCTAATCGTTTCGCCTTACGGCTTAGCTAGCAAGCCAGTACAAGAACCCTGGGTACAAATAATTGCAATCTTCATTGTTATTTAAGTATTTCTCTAAAAGATGGTGAAGAATCACCTCTTCCTAGCACCTCGGCTAGAATTGATACACCTTCAAGCAGAGGAGATGTTGCTAGTCCTGCAGCAATCAGATCCTGGACGATCCCACACATTACCACCGACCTAAGGAGGTGACAAATCCCCTACCCTGCTACAGCAAGGAAAGCAGAGTTATTCAAACTCCTCCATACATCAACGGACAACACGGAGGCAGGGGAAGGCCCAGCTACATCAACTCAGGTGACACCCAGGCTATGCTAGCCTCACTCATAAACTCATGAGCCAAAAATTTTTATGACAGACTGGCAATCTCGAGTTGGTCACCACAGCCCTCACAAGGCTGGGCCTCACGTTACTGTACAACCAGCACCAACCGAAACTCGGTTACCTGGTACAATCAATTCTTATGACACACAAGATGTTAACCCTGCACGTATGATCCCAGCACATTGGGGAAGCAAGGCATATATATGTATGATGATGTATCTGTGATGGTCAGATTCAGGGATTCCAGGTAAATCGGGAACTGACCATCTCTTGGATGGGTTGGTATTTGGAATATGTAGAGATGTTTATTTGTGCAGGTACCCATACAGAAGGGATTCTGTCCCAAACAAATGGACGAGCACTCTCAGGCTCCAGGTACCAGCACCTCTGAACTACCAGAGACCATTGATATGAGTAGTTGCATTGCATATATACTGTTGCATATATGTTCAAATGGTTCAGGGCACATGACAAACCATGTGGCCCAATACAACTTACAAATAACGTACTCACCATCTGTACACACCAATGCATTTTCAACACTACTGACTCATCACCCTTCCAGACTAGTAGTAGATTTACTAAAGCTCTGGAGTTTCAAAGGGCTCCCATACAGGTATCATAAACACACCTTCAAGGAATATAGCATGCCCTCACTTACAGTCAGCACAACAAAACCATTGGCTGAAAACACACTCATAGCCAAGATTTGCAGAGGGGTCTTCCAATCTCCACCATTTACAGCATGGCACCAAACACAAACACATTGGTATTGTCACAAGGAATCTTCCCTTAAACAAAGACTAACCATAGACTTATTGGCACCACACACCTCCGCTACACCAAGTCTCAACTCCCGCATACCCTCCGAGGATTTTTCTTACTATACAACACCATTGATCTACCTTTACAGCTATCACTCAAGCATGGGTTAAAGCTTGGTTAAGTAAGACCAATATCATCAACGCAGTAAACAGCTACCATCTACCCTACACACTGGCACTTACATGGCATAAATTGGGCAATGCTTTCCCTGCTCAACTTTCGAGCTACAGATTAACCTACTATCGATATTCGCAGATACTCTGTGCTGGTTATGATAACATATCCACAGGCATTACAGTCATACACTATCTAGAAGACTTCTTGTTGCTCAAAGAAAGCATATTTTTCACTAGAAGCCTCATGGCAGCTTAGTCTCATGGGCGTCCCAGTACCCCATAAGAAACAGAAGGCGCAGACACTATCATCACATTACTGGGCATATGACTTGAGTCGGCATCCATACACGCAAGTTACCACAAGACAAATAGGGAACATTCTCAACTAAATCAATCACTACCTCCTGCTTAGTACTTACAACTACAAGGAACTACAATCCCTACCAGGTTCCTTAATTTTGCCATGCCAATCATACCACAAGACCACGCTTTCACATCCAGAGTACTTTCCCCTTTTTTCCACACTTCCAACATGACGATCAGAGGAGGTGCCTAGACACCTCAGCAACAGCAGACCTGCACATGGGGGGGGATTTCTTAACCACTTGGCATGGTAAAAGCATGTTCCTTCCAGGATTGTCTGACACTTCTCCAACCAGATGGTCAGACGCAGCGTATACCACGGGTTTGGCAGCGATCTACCGGGAACAATTGCTTTGGGGCTGTTGGCCATGGCATCCAGGTTTGGAAATTTTTCCACCACTTCAGCCCCTTTGGGAGATCTACCCCATTGTAGCAGCTGCTGTGGCATGGGGTAAATCATGGTCAGGGTCATCAATCCGTTGTTACTCAGACAACTAAGCACATATCATATCATCAACAAACGCCACTACTCATCCATAAGTTCATGATGTTTCTGGGGAACTCACTTGGTTGGCCACTTATCACATTTCACTTTCATGTACCAGACGGGGTATACATCCCTGCCGACAACTGTCTCATTTATATTCCAGGCATGTTCATCATACGCTTCCTACAGCCGCCCATACAGTCACGTCCACTCTTTCGTTCCAGAGACAAAATCATGGATTAGACATACTCAGGCAGCATAGCATGCACTATCCCACCTAGCACTTTCGTCCCATACTTGTAGAACGCATAACACAGGTTTTCACCAGGCTTAAAGAATCTCATTGGAACACGACATAGCTCAACCTGTGTCACAAAATTTCTCCTAAGTTTTGCTTATTTTTGCCACCTTAAACTATCTCATACACCATTAATTATATATTTTACAGGCATTCAACAACACATGATAACCTATGGCCAAAACTACCATAAACTTCATGCTATCATACCAGAAAAGAATATACTCAGAGGTTTTCAGGAATCCATTCCCCCACGTTCCTCTCAGAGATTACCAATAGCCATCCAACTGTTCATCCTTATCGGACCTATTAGATCTACAACCATTCAATTATACTACCAAGTCTGCCATTACCAGCCATGCACATTGCCTTTTATGCCTTTCTCAGGCCAGAGAATCCACTACCATCACCACCACTCAGACAGATCATTGTCTTCAACGATCCCACGTACGTAAACACATATATCATTACCTATTGGCTCTACCACATTCCGAAATGAGTCAACATGCACCAACAGTAGAGATAACATACTATCCTACCCACAACAAATGGTGCCCACTTTCGGTCCTAGATTCCTACCTTCAAAATCCTTTCAGGAATTAAATACTGTAATGCATTTAAGGAAATGTCTGGTTAATTTGTATATATTTGTTGACTGTATTAAATCTTTGATTATTCATTTTGCCCTCTTTATTTACAGGCCTACCGTATCGTCGGTATCGGCACACCACAACCGACTTGCTCCCTTTACACTATCCTAAGCTTATGCTGGATCCTTACTCCATATACGGCTATTTTGCCCCTTACACAAGTATTAAGGCAGTTTTGCCTGTATTTGTGGGAGGGGCTTAAATTAATTCACTCCCCTATATAAGGGACACCCCTTACCTGACTCATATCGCTTGAGGTCAGCATCAGAATGACCCTCCCACCCACTCCTCATTTCAACACTTTCTCTTTTCTTTCCATTTACTTTACTTTCTTACTCCTTGGTGGGCCCTCTTTTTTACAGGCCTACCGTATCGTCGGTATCGGCACACCACAACGGACTTGCTCCCTTTACACTATCCTAAGCTTATGCTGGATCCTTACTCCATATACGGCTATTTTGCCCCTTACACAAATATATATATTAAATAAATATATAAATACGTTAAAAATGAAAAAATAAATAATTTAAATATATATATGTGTAATTTCGTTCTAACTGTATTTTGATATTAATATATACATATTGATATCAAAATATATTTAGAACAAAATAACATATATCTAAACATATATCTAAAATAATTGTAAAAAATGATATATACATATACATACACCTAAAACCTGTACATGGGGGGTACTGTTTTACTCGGGAGACTTCTGTGTTTCAAAACAGTAAAATGTATTACAACGATGATATCATCAGTGAAAGTGACGTTTTTCACGCAATCGGCACTTACACGGACGATATAATTGTTGTGATACGTTTTACGGGTTTGAAACACTAATATTTGTGTTCGTCGAATTCTCCTGAGTATAACAGTACCCCTCATGGACAGGTTTTATGGTGTTTTCAAAAGTTACAGAGTCAAATATAAGGCTTGTTTTTTTCTCATTCTCATTCTCATTCCTGAGCTACCATACGGTTTCAAAGGCAACGTAACTAATCTGGCGAATTTCAATGCGACCCTGTAACTTCCCAAAACACCATAAAACCTGTACATAGGGGGTACTGTTTTACACGTGAGACATCGCTGAATACAAATGTGTTTTTTATTGCAGTAAAAGCAAACGGTATTATGGCATTCACAGTTAAAATGTCACGTAGAACTAAAAAAAATAACATTTCTTAATTTCTCAAATTTTTTGTTATACTTTATTCATATTAAATTATGTTTCATAACTAAATATTTGATGTAAAATGAAATCCATATTTCTCCTGAATAAAATGATATTTAATAAGTGTGGGTGCACTTAATATGAAAGAGGTGAATTACGGTTGAACAGACATATAGTCCAATTCTAAGTTTTGTTTTAATCAAAACGTTAAAGGTTAAAGGCACAGTACTGTGCGTATTATTGATGTGAAGGTCTTACATACACTCAGACACACCAACACTATAGAGTTGGTGTGTATAAAGAGGGATATTAGGATAGAAAATAGGGACAGGTGATTTGGGCCAAAAACAGGGACTGCCTCTGCTGAACAGGGGAGGACTGTATTAGCCATCAAGTTCTTACTAGTTGCTAATATGACCTAATTTAAAACCTTATTAACATTTCTATTTCTAAAATATTATTCATTATTTAGTTTGCGTTCCATTTTACTATAACGCGTCTTATTCTCAATATTCGATTTACATCCATGCCTCTACTAACATGGCCGCACCGTCGCACATGCAGTCTTTCCTCAACTAAGATGGCTGCCAGTAGGAACTACGTCATCAACAGGCTGCCTGGTTTGATTTAGTCAGTCAAACTCAAGGAAGGGAGCCTTATTGTGGAAGGTATCGGGGCCAGCAAGGCAGCCAGGTTAATGGTGTTATCATTGTATTATAGAGTGCAATCTGTAAAGGGAGGGTCATATTTAATATTCTATTACCTCGTTATGTCTATCTTAGATGTGTGATTTACTAAGCTCTCCATCCCATGTGTGATACTGAAAACATATTTATTAGTTTAACATAAAGTTGGTGATTATTTGCTAGACTTTGAATCTATCTTTGGGATATCTGGGTTTAATTTAAGACTTAGCTTGTAATTTACACAATAAAAACCAAACAACCAAGGCAAGAGTATCCTCTAAACTCTGAATTGTCATTAAAATAGACAGGCTGTGTCAAATAGCTCTGTTCCAGATATTGTTTTTCCTCTCAATCTCTGTTTGTGTACATTTTGCATTTTGGATTTCAGTGTTACTTGAATTTTCACGTTTTATGGTAAACATAGACAAACAGAAACAATTATCAATATGTTTTTTTGGTTTGTTTGTCTTTGCCCAAAATGTAAAACTTACTTTGGGCTAAAATAGCCGGGCTGTGACTAGAGCTGGTTTGGAGAAATCCTTCAGCTTGGCTATGTGTGTGTAAATTTTGCGACCACGGTTACAATTGGATTTTAGTCAATGACCCAGGAATGTATACGCTAAACATTGGATTGCTGCAAGTTCAAAAATTGCCTAAAGCTGATTTGAAACTTGTTTTGAATCACTTGTCGGTAAAAGTGTATTTTAGCTTATTTTATCATTTACCATTTTGTTTCTGAGATATTGGACCCAGTTACTGCTAAGAGTTCGCATTACAATTTTTCTAAGATATTTACTTTTAATGAAAACATGCTGGTTTTTACTTTAATTATGACTGTTAATAATATCCGCCATTTGTTTAGTAAAATTTAAAAAATCATAAAATACGCTAAAGTACAATTTTACCCACTTGTCTTTGCTCACATTTTCCCTTTTGGACTTTAATGTGCCACAATTCAGAATTTCGTAAATTAACAGAATTTTGTCTTATCGTAGTGTGTTGCATTTTGTTATATATAATATTGATATGATATTTTCTGCTAACTTGTAATTGACATTTGTTATTGTATTTCAGGTGATGTCATTCTGTGACGCAGTCACTTACTGACTTAATCTTTCTCTCATGATTACTACACAGCCGCAGGGGGTTACTCCCCCAATCAGGTATGTACATTGGCTTCTTTTTATGTGGGAACTGTTTTTTGGGGGCTGGCTGTTTTAATTTTTGGGGGTTTTTTGGGGGGCTCTTCAGTGAATTTTTTTTATTTTTTTTATTTTTATTTTTTCTACATTATAGTTTTCCCCTCTGTATTCCACCTTTTGTCTGTCCCATTTATTTTTTATTTACACAATACTAAATGCTAATTTGTATATTGTTTTTATTCTTTTGCTTTGGGTGTTATTTTTGTATTATTTTCAACAATCTTTTGTGTATTCCCTGCAGCCCACAGGAACTATCACTGCAGATCAAGACATTCTTTAGTGGCTCAGACCCCCATCATGGGCATAAGCTGAGCCCTCGTGAGCATGCTCGATGCTCCCTATTACTCTTACGCTGCCTTCCTCCAGCCCGCCATGCCGTGCTAGAACACTTGCGATCTGTTTTTCATGACAGCGTCTCTAACTTCTTGAATGAGAGAGACTCTCAAGATAACCTCCCAGCATCCTCTTCCTCATCTCAGCGCAGACCACCTCCCCCACCTTCAAATCCAGGGCTAAATGAGGTAACACAGGAAGTGCAAAAAGTATTGGAAGAATTCATCAGATTGAATCCCCGAGCTTGGGCTCCACTCATTTCTGCTTGGTCTATTGAGCTCATGGGACAGTTAAGCAGTAAACATGCAGGCAGGCAAGGAATGCCTCATTCAGCCAGTCTCAATGAATTATTGCAGCTATGGATGTCATGTGGAGCCACTCGTGCACTTATGGACATTTACACACACTGCCTGTCCACAATGATTGGAAGTTGCCCAGATGCTTGTGTTGATGCCTTGTTGGATACCTCAGTCCAGCACTCTCCACACTTTGACTGGGTGGTTGCACATATTGGGAACTCGTTCCCCAGCACTATAATTAGCCGTGTCCTGTCTTGTGGTCTAAAAGATTTTTGTGCTCATAGCACACCTGCTGAGGCTCCTGACAAACGTGTTCCCAAGCTGGGGTCTGTTGTTGGCATTCTAGGACATCTGAGCTCACGCCATGGATCCACTATAAGACAGGAGATTCTGAGAATGTTCCACGAAAGCCTGCGTCCAGGGAGCAAGCAACAGCGGGCAACTTTACCTTACCTTCTACAGCTGGCTGCCCTTTCACCCTCTCTCTTAGGAATTGTATGCCAAGACCTTGTAGATTCTTTAAAACCAGCAACATTAGCCCAACTTCAGCAGCATTGCTCAACCCTGCCCCGTGAAGAGCTTGATAACATGCTGAACTTGAGTGTTCACTTGGCATGTCAAACATCAGCAGGTGCTTCTCGTCTTCTACGATTCCTTCTGGATACAGCAATGCCTGCTTCTGTCATAACAACACCAGGATTGGCTGTGCATGATTCTGTTAGAGATGCTTGTGATCGCATTGTGAGGCTGCTGCTGCTCAGCCTTCAGAAACAAGTGTATGGACGGCCAGGGGTGCGGGGGTCATCTGATACCCAACCACGAGCTGTTCCTTTCCTGGATGCAATGAGAGGTCATCTCCCAGAATTGTGTGCGGAGATGCTGCGTTTAGAAAGAAAACGTCACCTTTGGCTTCACCAACTGCTGGGATTACTTTGTATATATAGCAGTCCATCCTGTGCTCCAGAGGCACTATGTTTATTGCTCACCTTAGCTCAAAATCCAGAGGAACTCGGTCTGGCAGTCCAGCTTCATGCTGTTCTCTCTTCCTCGGTGCAGGGACTTGCACATGCCGCAGTGACCCGCTGTGTGGCTCAAGTTCATGCAGGAGCTTTAACAGATAAGCGAGCCCTTCAACTCCTGCAAAACCTTGCACTTGTTGTGCAGAGTGAAGAGGGGGGCATGGGTAGAGAGACAGGGCTAGCACTTTCTGAGTATCTATCTGATATTGGGCAACTCCTGCTACACACTGACCCAGGTGTGTGTGAAGCAGCTTGTACTTTGCTGTGTTGTTGTCCTCTCCCTGCTTCTCTACCACCTTCCCAACTGCACTTACTTATTCGATCTTCTTCCCACCTCCTTTTCCATTCCATGCATTTACGTAGCATTTCTGGGGTTAGTAGTTGTTCCCGCCTCCTACTTCGGCTGTGTAGAGTTTCTCCTGCAGGAAGAAAGGCTGTTTTACATCAGATAGTTGAAGGATCCATGCATGAGGGAAATGCAGGGCTCTTTGGTGGACACAGTTCTTCCTCAGCAGCCATGAAAGAAGGTGCAGCTGCATCCCTGTTGGAAAGTAACAGCCATCTAGGCTCAACTGTGGACTTTTCTGGCAGTGTGTGGTCTGTTTTTCATGCGGGTGTGATCGGATCTGGGCTGAAACCCGAGGAACAAAGTAGGCAGAGTGGACAACAAGAAATTGCAGAAAACACACAGAGCCTGCTTGACCTTTTGTGCCGTTGCTGTGCCAAAAAGGGTGAGGAAGGAGGACAGCCAACATCTTTAGACCCTGAAGCAGTTAAGACTCTGGCAGTGACAATCACAGAAAATGCATGTTCTGATGTCACAAATAGCGAATTGGCATGGCCACCAGAGGAGCATGCACGTACCACTGTGCAAAGAGACTTGCTCATCTACAGATGCTTCCGTCACAACCCTCTTCTTTTTCAACTCCTTCATCTTGTTGCACAGGGTCGCCCAGCACTCTGTTATTGTTCAGTGCTTCTCAGAGGACTACTTGCGACATTGCTGGCACATTGGGAGGCATCTCGTGAAACCTCTTCTGTGAGTTCTTCTTGGCATTTGCAGGCATCATGTGAGCTTGTTTCCTGCATGGGAGAGGGTCAGTTGCTTCCACCAGCATTAACAAATATGCATGAGATGTTTTCGCTCCTTGCTCCATTTGAAGTACGACTACTGCTCCTCAGTGTCTGGGAATTCATGCGAGAAAATGGACCTTTCCCTCAAAGATTTGTGTTCCAGCCAGCAAAAGGAATATTCAGCAGAGACTTTAGCCGAGAAGGTGACCCCTCTAAATATATGGGAATAGTCCATAGTGTCCTACACCGTAACATTGACCGTCTAGGGCTGCTTTCCGGAAGATTCCAGTTGTAAAGGAACAAGACATTTTATAGAGCTAATTTTTTCAGATATATATATGATGCTTACACAGCGGGAATTGTTTCTAAATTGACCCTCCTATTAATACATGTCCTATTTCTTTCTATCTTGTTAATAGCTGAGAAACATCACAACATATATGAAAGAAGAAAGGCACCACTGAAATGACATCTTATGATGTTTTACAATAAAATAGTAAACATTGAGTGCTCATTGTGTAATTATTCTTTCAATATTACATAGTATAAAATAAAAAAATACATAAAACCGTGGATGAGGGAAATTCATCTTGCTGCGCATCAAAAGAAAAAAAGAGCATTGTCAAATGCTTGTGAGACCACTACCCTTTTCTGCTGTTAATTTTACTTGTTCAATGTCCAAAATATCCATACTGCTGTGGAATTTAATGTATCTATTATTCCAGTTCTGCTACTTTCCCACCTTGTTCAGATGATATCCCTTTTGATGCCCTTCTTATACTCTATATCCTCTAGAGTGTAAGCTCATTTGAGCAGGGTTCTCATCAATCCATTGCTCCTTTAATGTTTTGTAAGTGTCTCCATATATTGGTACATTTTACACTTTATAATATTATGAAGCGCTGTGGAATAAGTTTTTATATATATATATATAATTATTGGCATTTATATAGCGCTACCATTTTACATGTTTTTAAAATTTCGTCTATACAAAGGGCTAGTTTAGTTGACAGAAAATGTGTAGGTAGATTTTTGTACATAAAAGCAATAAACTGATTGGAAACCTGGCCAGTGTAGTGGTATCATGGGGAAATATGTACTTCCAAAATAGGGTACACTTGTGTACCAATGATCAATGGCTGAATGCAGTTCTAAACTTAAGCAAGCAGTCTGTGTTCTCTTTCCAAATTGTTTGTGTAATGAAAAAGTAAAAATTCCTTATACAAGATTGGAGTAGGATGGGATGGTATTAGGGTACTGGATATTCCCTTAATGTGTCAGTCTTTTGAAAACTGATTTTACAAATCCTAGAGGGACAACACCGGTAGCCTTCTTACAACTGTTTAAGTTTAATGCCAAATTAAATGTTGGCACCAGGGGACTCCAGACACTATAACCAGTTTAATGAACTGAAGCACATACAGTGCCTACAGAGTCCCTTTAAATTAGGAGCTGCAGTGTTGCAATGCAATATATCAAAATTAAAAGGAATATAAAACCACAATCTGCAAGAAGATTATGAAGTTTGCTATATATGAGAGATTTGTAAACTGTGAAATGTTATTGAAAAAAAGTGAGATCAGAAGGTGACAAAAGATGATTTTTTGCAGATTCAGAATGTTCTACAAAGGTAAAATGGATTAAAGAGCTGTGGTCTTGCTTGGGGGAGTTCAGCAGATGCAAGAAGGATTAAGACAATGTGGTCAACTCTCTTTTTTTGCAGCTGTTTATTTGCAAGACTTTAATTTCAAACAACACAAGACATATTTCAGAAGAAAAAAGTAATTAACTTGTGTGTATATATATATGTATCCCAGTGGTGTGCTGCCCTAGGTATGACAAAACTCAGGCACCCCCACCCCTCCAAATATCTTTTCCTGACAGACACACGCAATCACTGATACATGTATTTACAGATAGTCATTGTCACACACTGTTTAACCAACACACACTTTAACTGAAATATACACATTCACAGAAATACTCATTTACAGTTACACACACATTCATCAACCCACACATATACACTAACTGACACACGCATTCACTGACCGACACACTCACTGACAGAAATGCATACACACTCACTCGGTGTCGGACACCCTCACTGACTATACACTCACAAACACATAAACAACACTCACTGACAGACGTACTCAATGTCAGACACACACATTGACTGACAGACATACACACACATTCACTGACAGACACACATACACACACACTGACAAACACGTATACACTCTCACTCACAATTTAAAATTAAAAAAAATTCAAGTTCAATCCCCCCAGCCTCGTAACCTTTAGGAGTGCTGGAGTGGATTCGTTCGTGTAGTCCAGTTGGGGCTGGCTGAAGCTCGGTAGGTAAGTACACTGCTGACACAGCCTCATTCTGCTCAGCTCACTACTACACACCTTGTTAGAGAGTAATCATTCAAACTCATACAAACCTAGCCATCACATACACACTAATTACGAATACTTAGATACATACAAACACACACATACACTCACACTTCAAGTTAAATTAGTCCCCATTGCAGATGAAGCATGATATACTTTTAGCTGTGTGGCGCTGTCCAATTATAAGGAGTCATACTGTTTAGAACTAACTTTCCTAATGTCCTTTGGTCTTCTATGATATAGGTAAAAGCCTTCTGCATTGGGAATCTCACTCTTGTTCAATTTTGGACTTCATTCATTTGCTGGTGCTCCTAGTCACAGTGCGAAGTTAGGCATAATTCATATTGCTAAAACAGAAATTTCATAAATACATGTATTTCATAGATATTTTTGCTCAGGTAGTCTGTTAGCTAACTTCCTAGCTCAACCTAACTTCTTGTTTACCTAATGCAATATTACCAAAATAAAACCATTTTCTCAATGCACAGCTGTGTGTTGACTGGTGGCTCATCATAGTAAGCCACATTAACCCCTTAAGGACACGTGACATGTCATGATTCCCTTTTATTCCAGACTTTTGGTCTTTAAGGGGTTAAGCACCCAATAAACGATCAGTAGTTTATAATTGGAGGGGCATTGCTCCCAAGTTGACAGCCAGGAGGTGGTGAATGCCCGCACCACCACTCACTTGGCTTTGCATTGTCCCAGTGTAGCACATGGAGAGGGGGCACAAGTTAGGTTAGAAGGATATGAGGAGGCGGACAGCAGAGGTGTTTTGGTAGGGTTATCATGGAGTAAGTCCCTCTACCATGGCAGCTGTGCCCTTTCAAAACCATTAAAAAAAAATTACACATTCCCATGTTATCTGTATTGTATGCTGTCTGTTGGGGAAAAATAATTGGCTAAACTGTTAGTAAATGTGGCCCTCGTATTGGCTGGCTTTTCTAGGAAAGTAAACCATGAGGATTACTGTACTAAAACAAGGTTTAGCCAGTTATTGCTCCATCTTGTGTGGAGCTATAACTCTCGTGATTGTCTCTGGCTGAGAGTTATAGCCTGACATCTTCCTATTGTCTTTTTCTGCACTGCAATGAGAGCTATAGCCTGAATTCTTCACATTCTCTTTCTGCACTACGATGAATTCAAGAACATCTCTCCTGAACATGGCGTCTAAAAAAAAAAAGGGAGGGGGAGAATGATGTATTATGGAGGTAATAACACAAAATTGACACATCTAATTAGCTTATTTTAGCTGGGAGCTGTGACGAGATGTCAGAACCATGTTATCTCATTTTCCCTAACTAGATGACCTTTGAGACACTTGTAATTAACCAGCATATCCTGATGTTTCCAGGGCAAAAATTGTACAGTTTGCTACTGGCAGTCTGTGACCTGATCTTAACTGTATGTCCTCACAACAGGTGTTAAGGTGAACCTGATTTAATGTTCTACCTGCGCTAGACTAGCTCAACGTTGTTGTGTCCTTGGATGTTTTGTACATCATCTATTTGGGACAAATGCAATTTACAAATAAATTAAAAACTGTCTCTGTGAATAGAGTCCATTACAGAGAATGCTGATTGTCATGTTCCCATTGGATGGTTTTCTGTTGGTTGCTAAGGCAGAGCCTGCACTTCGGTAAGATTTAGGAATTTTCTTAAAAATGCCAGTTTAAAGGGTAGGCTATAAGCTGTCTGTCTTATTTAAAGCCACTCCTCTAAGAATTGCCATAATTTATGGCCCCCTGGTCATCCTAGGCAATTCATTGATCACTTTTCCTCCTAGATACCCATTTCCTCTCCTCTAGTACTCCTTCCCTCATTCTTGCAGACTTTAATATCCCAATCAGCGACCCCAACTGCCTTGATGCCTCTCGTCTGCTCTCTATAACCTCCTCCATTGGACTCACACAGTGGTTTAATTCAGCAACTCATACAGCAGAAAATACTCTTGACCTCATCTTTACCAATCTCTGTATCACCTCTGATCTCTCCAATGTTCCATTTCCTCTGTCTCACCACCACCTGCTGAACTTTGACGTCGGCAAACCCCATGCACAAATTACACCACCCTCACCACATCAGTCTTGCAGAAACCTCCACTGTCTTGACCTACAGCGATTCTCCAACGCCTCCAAAGTCTACGTTCACCCATCTTAAACCTCACCTGCCCTAACACTGCAACCTCCCTCTACAACTACACTCTCCTCTCAACTAGACATCATGGCACCTCTACACTTAAATGCAGCAAGTGCTCCCAATTACAACCTTGGCACACCAACCTGACCCGATACCTCCAAAAATGTTCCAGAACTGCTGAACGCTACAGGAGAAAGTGACACTCTTTGTCTCACCACCACCTGTTTCCTTGATCTTATTCCCTCGTATCTCATCCACACGTTGTCTCCTTCTCTTGCTCTGTCTCTCACTAAAATTTTCAATCGCTCCCTCTCCTCTGGAACATTTTCTCTACCCTTCAAATGTGCTACCATAACCCCAATTCTGTAGAAAACCTTGACCCAGTTCTCCCTCCAACTACCGCCTTATCTCGCTACTGCCGTTTGCCTCAAAGATCCTTGAGAGTTGTGTATGCGAGATTGACAGACTTCCTCGAATCCAACTCTTGCTTGACCCACTTCAATCTGGATTCCGTGCTCATCACTGTTAAAACAGCTGTGACCAAAATATCCAATGATCTTATCACTGCAAAATCCTCTGACCACTACTCTATTCTAATTTCTTCTTGACCTTTCTGCTGCTTTTGACACTGTTTATCATCAACAGCTTCTTCTCATCCTACATAATGTCAGTCTACGAGATACTGCTCTCTCCTGTGCTCTTCGTACCACTCCCAGCGTTCTTTTAGTGTTTCTTTCTCTGTCTCCGCCTCTTCCCCAAGGGTCTGTCCTTGGTCCCCTATTGTTCTCAATCTATTCTGCCTCTCATGGTAAACTCATCAGCTCCTTCGGCTTCCAGTATAATTTCTATGCGGATGACATGCAAATTTACCTGTCCTCCTCGGATTTCTCACCACCCCTCTTGGCTCGTGTCTCTGACTGCCTCTCTGCTATTTCCAACTGGATGGCTGCTCATTTCCTTAAAATTAATCTGTCCAAAACAGAACTTCTGGTCTTACCTCACTCAAGTGTTGCTACTCCCTTGTTTGTTTCCCTCCAAGTCAGTGGCGCTACCATCCGCTCTACCTCTGGGGCTTGCTGCTTAGGTGTTCTCTTTGACTCTGACCTCTCCCTTACCCCTCATGTCCAATCAATCATCAAATCCTGCCACTTACATCTGAAAAACATAGCGCGTTCCCACCCCTATTTAATGCCTGATACGGCTAAGGTGCTTGCCCATGCCGCTGTCCTCTCTCACCTTGACTACTGTAATTCGCTTCTAAGCGGTCTTACGTGTTCCCAGTTTGCCCCATTACAGTCTATAATAAATGCGGCAGCAAAGCTCAACTTCCTGTTCACCCGCACTTCCCACGCCTCCCTATTCAGCCAGTACCTACATTGGCTTCCCGTAAGATTTAAGATCCTGGTACTTGCTTACAAATCTCTACACATTGCTGCTCTGACCTATGTATCCTCACTAATACACAAATATGTCCCGTCTAAGCCCTTACTCTATGCTGGAGACCTACGTCCAGGGCCGGTGCAAGGATTTTTGCCGCCCTAGGCAAAAGTAAAGTTTGCCGCCCCCCCCCATGTGACATCACAATGCCCCACCCATATGATCTGCCATGTTAACTAACGCCAGTGCTGCAGTGGCGCCGTGTTTATATTAAAAGGCCTGCAGGGACAGGCTATAGACACCAGAACCACTACATTAAGCTGAAGTGGTTCTGGGGACTATAGTATTTTTAATGTGAGGTAAATTAGAGATTAGTGTCACGAATAATATACTAGATTGCCTACTTACAACCAGATGAGGATGATGATGGGCTCTAGCTGCAGTCTGGCTCCACTGGTCTGGTGTAGAACAGGCTCTCTGGAGGCTGTTTGTAACTGTGGTCACAAAATCAATGTTCTGGGAGAACGGGAAGCAGCTCCATTTTTTGGGGGGCCCTTTACACAGCTCAAGGTCTGGGTCCCAGGGTCCACCTTCATGTTCCACCAATGAGTTTGTTCACAGGGGGTGGAGTAGGGGGATGTCCTGATATGTGTGTAAGGAATGCATTGTGTGAAATTGTGTTTGTATGTGTAAGGGCTGCAAGGTGTGTTTCTGTGTATGTACGGGATGCAGTGTGTGCGTCTGTAAGGGGTGCATTGTGTGTAAGGGTTGCATTGCTTGTGTGTGTGTGTGTGTGTGTGTGTGTGTGTGTAATGCATTGTGTGTTTTTCTGTGTGCAAGGGGTGCATTGTGTGTGTGTGTGTGATGGATGTCAATCTCTCCCCCCTCGTCTCCCCCCTTGTCCCTCTCTTCTCCCCCCTCCCTTGTCACTCTTGTCCCCCCTCCCTTGTCACTCTCTTCTCCCCTGCTTGTCCCTCTCTTCTCCCCCCTCCCTTGTCACTCTCTTCCCCCTCCCTCCCCGTCAATTCCCCTCCCTGTCAATTTCTTTCCCCTCCCTTTCAATTTATTCCCCCCTCCCTTTCAATTTATTCCCCCTGCACCCTCCTGTCCTTTATTTCCCCCACCCTCCCTGTCACTTTATTCCCCCCTTTCAATTTATTTCCCACCCTCCCTTTCACTTTACCCCCCACCCTCCTGTCACTTTATTCCCCCTCCCTTTCAGTTTATTCCCCCACCCTACCTGTCTTTATTCCCCTTTCAATTTATTCAGTCTTTGTTCCCCACCTCCCTGTCACTTTGTTCCCCCACTTTCCATTTATTCTCCTCTCCTGTCCTTTTTCCCCCCCTTTTATTTATTCCCCCACCCTCCTGTCCTTTGTTCCCCTTTTTATTCCCCCCACCTCCCTGTCCTTTATTCCCCGCCCCTGTCACATTCCCCCCCTCCCCTTTCAATTTATTCCCCCTACCCTCCCTGTCCTTTATTCTCCTCTCCTTTCAATTTATTTCCCCCCCCACCCTCCCTGTCACTTTATTCCCCAGCCCTGTCCTTTATTCCCCCCTCTCTTTCAATTTAAATCCACCCCTCCCTCCCTGTCCTTTTATTCCCCTTTCAGTTCCACTTCCCCCACCCTCCCTGTCCCTTTATTCCCCCCACCCTCCCTGTCACTATGTGCCGAGCTCTGTATGGTCTGCGGGTACAGGGAGCTTTTGTTTCCTGTACCCGGCCGGACTAAAAGGAAGTGAACACTGAGTGTGCACTTCCTGTTAGTCCGTTCGGGTACAGGAGACAGATGCTCCCTGTACCCGCGGACCATGATACAGGGATCGGCCACGCTACAGTGAGGGAGTGACAGGAGGGAGCGCTGAGCGCAGGGCCGGCGCGTCCATAAGGCGGCACAGGTGGCCGCCTTAGGGCGCACCGGCTCTGGGGGCGCAATATTTCAGTGACCGGCAGGAGGGAAGCTCTCCCTCCTGCCAGGCCACCTTTTGGATCCCCGGCGCGGCGTGCGGCTGTGCTGTGATCAGACGCGGCGAGGGAGCTCTAATCTCCACGCTCTGCTCCCTCGCGCGCTGTCTGCTGATACCGCGGGAGCCGGAATATGACGTCATATTCCGGCTCCCAGCCTCACTTTGCGGCGCGCGAGGGAGCTGAGCAGACCGCTCAGGGGAAGAGCTCCCTCGCCAGCCGCCCGCCCAGCAGCCACTGGACCACCAGGGAGGTAATGAACCCCTTCCCCCCCAGCACTCCCAGAGGTAAGGAGGTGGGGGGGGGGAGTGAATAAAAAAACAAAAGTGTTAATGTGAGTGAGTGAGTGTGTGTCTGTTAATGTGTGTGTTTTGTTAGTGTGTGTGTGTTTTGTTAGTGTGTGTGTCTGACTGTGTGAGTGTGTGTCTGTTAGTGTGTGTCTGACTGTCAGTGAGTGTGTGTTTGCCTGTGAGTGTGTGTGTGTGTGTGTGTCTATTAGTGTGTGTCTGTTAATTTGTGTGTGTTTGTTAGTGTGTGTGTGAGTTTGTGTGTGTGTGTCTGCTAGTGAGTGTTAGTGTGTATGTGTGTGTCTGACTGTGTGTGTGTCTGCTAGTGAGTGTGTGTGTCAGTGAGTGTGTCATTTAATGTGTGTTAGTGTGTGAGAGTTTGTGTGTGTGTGTCTGCTAGTGAGTGTGTGTCTGACTGTTTGTCTGGTAGTGTGTGTGTGTCTGACTGTGTGTCAGTAAGTGTGTGTGTGTGTGTGTCTGACTGTGTGTGTGTCTGACTGTGTGTGTGTGTCAGTGAGTGTGTGTTTCTGTTAGCGAGTGTATGCGGATCTGTCAGTGAATGTGAGTGTGTGTGCTAGTGAGTGTGTGTCTGTTAGTGTGTATGTGTGTGTCAGTGAGTGTGTGTCAGTGAGTGTGTGTCTGACTGTGTGTGTCTGACTGTGTGTGTGTGTGTTTCTGTTAGCGAGTGTATGTGGATCTGTCAGTGAATGTGTGTGTGTGTTTGTGTATTTAGAAGGCGGGCGGGGGGAAGGGTTGGGAGGGGACTGGTGCGGTGGGGGGGGCTGCCTGAGTTTTGTCCTGCCTAGGGCAGCACAAAACCAGGATACACCACTGACTGGACCCCAGGGAATGATTCATCATCCACACCAGCTCTCCAGGTAGGGAGGCTGGGTGGAAAATGTTTATTTATTAAAATAATTAGTGAGTGTGTGTCTGTGTGTCTGTGAGTGACTGTCTGTGTGTGAGTGTCTGTGTGCCTGTGAGTGACTGAGTGTGTGCATGAGTATGTGTGTCTGTGAGTGAGTGTGTCTGTGGGTGCTTGTATGAGTACTGCATGTGAGTGTATGAGTGTGGCAGTGTATGTGTGTCTGTCAGTGTGTGTTTGTGAGTGTCTGTCAAATCAGTGAGAATATCTTTGTCATTGAGTCTGTGTGTGAGTATCAGTGTGCCTGTCAATGAATGAGTGTGTGTCAGATCAGTGAGTCTGTGTGTTTGTCATTGAGTGTGTGTGACTGTCAGTGTGTATACACCACTGAGTGTAGCGTGGTGGAACGCAGTACAGGAGCTTCTGTTTCCTGTACCCGGCCAGACTGACCGGAGGTGCTCACCGAGAGAGCACTCCCTGTCAGTCCGGCCAGGTGCAGAAAATTGAAGCTCCTGTAGGGGATATCCTCCACTCGGCAACGCTACAAGAGAGGTAGGAGGCACACCAGGAAGGGGAGTGCGACCACTAAGGGGTGGAGGGTGCACCAAGGGACAGGGAGGGGAGGGGAGAGAAACACCAAGGGACAGGAAAAAGAGGGGAGAGCTTAGAAGAACACTAAGGGACAGGGAAGGGAGGGGACCACTAATGGACGGGGAGAGGGGCTGGTTAAGAGGCACATAGGTGAAGATGTTATTTGGGGGGGGGTGGAAAGATACATCTTCGCCTATGTACCCAAAAATCCTTGCACCGGCCCTGGCTGAGCGCTTCCCTCCTGTCAGCCCCTCTCCCCATGCTGTGCCCGGGCGGGCAAAGCTGCAGCTGCCTGAGGCTCTCTACAGAGCGCTCGGGCGGCTGCAGCATGAGGGGGGCGGCTGCCTAGTCCGCCTAACAGGTAGCGCCAGCCCTGCCTACGTCTAACATCTGTTCATATTCCTACGTTTGATGCTTGCTTTAAAGACTTTTCTTTCCATACCTCCCAACATTTCATACGGACAGAGGAACACTTTTGTTTTAGGGGTGTGAGTGGGGGTGTTGCCAGTGGTGGCACTGTTGTGAGACATTTTAGGAGACTTACTAACGATTTATGAAAATGTAATGTAGAGAAAAAACTTAATTACACAAACGTATTTGTTAACATATTGTAGTTTAAAGACACATGACTGTGAGTACTGTTATAGTGATACTCTGTTACAGATTTAGACACACCAATAATATGGAGCTCATAGAAAAGATGGATTTGGGCCCACAATAGGGACACTTGGGAGGCATGCTCCCCAGTTGCCACTTATATGTCCTTCACTTGGCTGAAGGAACTAGGAAGTGTCGCTACTCAAGAAGTGACAGTTCTGCTTTAAGTGGATGGTTTCCTAGCCAAATAGGGTTTTTACTAAAGTGAGAAGTGCCTAGAATCCAAAATAAATTAAAAATGTATGGGCAAAGTCGCTGAACTAGAAGCATGGCTGATGGCGAATTTTTCTAGTTTGACTACACTGGTCTAAAAGGGAACTTCCGGACAATAACAACTGCATCAGAATAAAGTTGTTACGATGCCAAGAGGTTCCAGGTGCCAGCTTATATTTAAGGCTTAACAAAGCTCTTCATTTACAAAACTGCTTGCTAGATGTACAAATTTTTTCCAGCCATTGTGTGAATGGGAAATTATTGATTGGGTTAGAGTATCAGTGTCACTGCTCCTGACATCTCTGCTTGCATGGCTACACTTAAATATAGCAGCCACGCCGTCAGAGATGCTTTAAACTTACCCGGTTTCCCTCCATTCTGGTCCCCACCGGGTGCGACGTTCTTAGGACTGCCGCCGCTGTGGACCGGACTTTTAGAAGAAACTTCCCATCGCCCACTTCAAAGATGGCTCCAATTTGCCTGCGGTGTCACGACATAGTTGCTCCCACATGTTTTGGGGTCAGAGGTCACAGACATCCAATTACAGACTAAGTAGGGTTATTTAAACCCAAATTACCTTTTTGTCAGTGCCCTGTCGTGGTTTCTACTAGCTGGTTATCTGAGAGTGTGTTCCTGATTGCGTTTTTCTGGTATTTGACTTTGGCTTCGTATAGACTTACCTGATTTCTGGTATCCTTGACTTCTGGCTTTCCTCATCGTTGTGTCTCATTCTGTTTCCCTACCCTGGGCAAGTATTTTAACTATTCTGCGGTATGTAAGTCCGGCCATTCTAAGGTCCGGTTAAACGTTATCCTTAGTCCTAGATGTGATACTATTCTGTGTGCTGGATCAACTATAATCCTGACAATCAGCTGACGCCTTAAGCCAATCAGCACTGCCCTTGTCTGAGGCTTCTTGATTCAAGCCTCGTGGAAAAGCAGCCTTCAGCACTTTGGGGTAAAATCGTTCGTTCAGCTATCATCCTCAATTCTGTACTCTCGTGCAAGAATAGAGCAGTGATAACTGCTCCTGGTGCTGATGATCGTGGCGCCTGTGAGGAACAGGTTCAAGTAAGTAGAACTCACCTTTGCCAGCCACCGAAGCCTCAGTGGCAATGTCACGGGTGATTGTCTTTGCAAACTCTGCAAAGTCCCCAGTGACATTGCTGCTTTAACATGCCCAGAAGTTCCCATTAAATTCACTTTGAATTCCTGGCAATTATCATTTTAGTGAATAACCCTAAACATTAAAGGGACACTATAGTCACCTGAACAACTTCAGCTTAATGAGGTTGTTCAGGTGAGAACTATAGCTCCCTGCAGCCTTTCTCATGTAAACACTGTATTTTCTGAGAAACACCTCCAGTTGCAGTCACTCAGAGTGAACCAGAGGGACTTCGGAGTTGATGGAGGCATAATATGCCTCCATACACTCAGATCTGCTGTCAGCAGATCACCGGGCAGCACTGTGCACAGCATCCTGTGATTCAGTGTCTCCTCCCTCTGCATGCAGTCACTGAACTTTCCTCATAGAGATTCATTGATTCAATCAGTGGCGTACATACCGGGGTCGCAGGGGTCACGGCTGCGACCAGGCCCGGCCCACCAGGGGGCCCGGCCGCCCTGCGACCCGGTATGTACCCACTGTGGCCAGCCTTTTCTCCTGGGGGGCCCAGGAGTGGACCACCTCAGGGCCCCCGAGGCTGGCCCTGGTGTCACCTGGCAGGCGGGCACGCGAGGGAGTACTCTCCCCTGAGTGCTCCCTATTTAGCTCCCTCGCGCGCTGCGTACTGATACCGGAGCCGGAAGATGACGTCATCTTCCGGCTCCCGCATCAGTACGCGGCGCGCGAAGGAGCTAAATAGGGAGCACTCGGGACAGTGCTCCCTTGCGTGCCCGCCAGCCCGCCATGTGACACCACTGGACCCCAGGGAATCCCCTCAGCACTCCAAAAGGTAAGGAGGCTGGGAGGATTAAATTTAAAAACAAAAACGTGTGTGTGTGTGTCTGCTAGTGAGTGTCTGTTATTGAGTGTGTCTGTTACTGAGTGTTTTTGTGTGTGTCTGTTAGTGAGTCTGTTTGATGTCTGTTAGTGAGTGTGTGTTTGTCAGAGTGTATGTTTTGTAAGCGAGTGTGTCTCTGTCAGTAAATGTGTGTCTGTTAGCTAGAGTGTATGCGTCTGTTCGTGAGAGTGTGTGTGTGTGTCTTCAGCACTTACCTTTCTCCAGTGCCAGACTCGCTTGGTTCTGGGGATCCCTCCTCCTCTCTGCTCCAAATACGCATGCGCGGTAAGAGCCGAGCGCGCATTCAAACCGCCCAGAGTAAGCGCGGGAAGGGGGGGGGAGGGGAAGGGGGGTACGGATCAATTTTCACACCGAGGCCCCATGGGTCATGTGTACGGCACTGGATTCAATTTATCTCTATGAGGAAATGCTGATTGGCCAGGGCTGTGTTTGAATCATGCTGGCTCTGGCCCTGATCTGCCTCTTTGTCAGTCTCAGCCAATCCTATGGGGAAGTATTGTGATTGGATCAGGCTACCACATGTCAGCAGACTGCTTGTTTTCTTGTCTAACAGCATGCAGATTTACAGCTTCAGGCTTGAATACAGTAATATTTTTACTATATTTATGGAGGCATGAGGGGCCCAGGGGGGCTAGATGGTGGTGTTAACGCTATAGGGTCAGAAATACATGTTTGTGTTTCTGACCCTATAGCGATCCTTTAAATGTTTTCCTTTGGCAGTGATGGCAATCCTTTTTGTGCTTCAGTGCCCAACTTGAATACCAACTTGTTTATATTGATGGGCTAACACTGCAATTAACCATAAGAACAGAAGTAAGACTGTGGATGATAGGTGTGTGCTTATTTGAATGACTATATTCATTTAACTGCATTAATAGAATAAAATAGAAAAATGTATTGCCCCAGTACTGACTTCAGAAGAGGGAATCCCTAGGAGGTAGGATTAGGAGCAAAGGTATACATGTGGTGTATTATTGTACTTGCAAACAGTAGAATACAAATATGGGGTGAGAGAAACTGAATGATTACTTTGCAGGACTAAGATTGTCAAACAGCCACTAGAGGCGCTTTTGGAGTTTGACTATATTAAACGACACTGGATGTCCTCACACTCTGCATGATGACATTCAGCATCAGTAAAACCTCTGTGAGAAAGCATTGAGGCAATGCTTTCCTATGGGGAGGGCCTAATGTGCTTGCAGAGCTTGCCGCCGATGTGCATTAGATCACCCCCTGTGAGATGGTGTTGAGGTGGTGAAGCTTGACCCAGCACTGAGGGACACCGGTGCTAGAGTCGTGTAAGTGAATAAAGTTTTTTTTTTTTTACCCTTTAAATGCTGGGGGAGGGACTCATTATTATTATTATTGCCATTTATATAGCGCCAACAGATTCCGTAGCGCTTTATAATATTATGTTAGGAATAAAACTTTGTATTCCTAACACTATAGATTCCTGTTAAGTTAAAGTTGTTTTAGTGCTTATATTGTCCGCTTACTAGGTTAAAAGGTTTGTTATTTAACTTTTGATTGCCTGCATATTTCATTAATGTATCCTTTGTTCATCATACCACACATAATTTGTTACATCTTGATATATTATGATCAATCGTTTCACGTTCAACAGCATTGGCTACAAAGTATATCCATGTGGCAACAACTGACTCAGGAGCTGTAGTGTAGGTCGCATTCGGGAGGAAGACCCAGAAATGTGGGCCAAGAAACATGTTTTTATAGTGTATTTACTACTAGGTTACAATAAGCAAGGGTTCGAAATTCGAACTTGGAATTGTCAGAGTGAATACAAACGTCAACTCCCAACATTCTCCCCTCACTGCTGTGTCAAGTTCAACGTTCTATGGAACCTGTCCAACTACTCGTATTGCTCCAGCTAGACAGTGACGTCACCGGACGGGTTGTGCAGGAGGCGTGGCCTACTGAAAGGATATTTCCCGTCTGACCAATGATAGACGGTGACGTGTCTCATGCTGGCGGGAGTTCTTGCGGGTTGACGCTGGAGTGGGCGGGGTTTCTGTCAGGGAGCCGGGTACTGGGGGGGTCAGAGGTTAGAGCTGATCCAAGATGGCGGAAGCGAGGAGGTGAGAAGTGGCTGAGTGTATAGGAAGACTGGGACATTGGTTAATAATTCCCCTATAGAAATATAATGTATATTAATACAAGGAGTGCATGGCTGCAAGAGGTGATCATACACCATCAGTATTAGTGTGCACTGCTTTCATATACAAGTTGAATGTGGTGTTCTATTAATTGTATTTCTTTATTAAAAGTGAGACTGCTATTGGTCTGATATATTTGTAAGGTTTTTATTTTATATGACTTATTCTGTTACCAAGATAATGAGTTCATTATCGGTAGCTGGCTGCCATAGGTAGCTGGCTTATTTTAGTACTTTGTGTATGTGGATATGTAAATATATAGAACATGTAGTTTGTTCATGGAGATCTGTGCAGATCATATTCGTTAAAGTTGAGTCATACCCCAGGAAACAAAGAAAGGAACTAGCTTCATATATTGCAATAGGAACAGTGTCAGTTATACAAGGTTCAATGATTGACAGCTAATCCTTCAGGTGGTGCTATTCATGATGCTCACTGGATGAGCATCACAAATTGTCCACAGCAGTTTAAAGGGATTGCCCAATGAAATGTCGACCAGATGTTTTGAATAACTTTATATTGGTAATGCAATAAATGTATTGGGGGGTGGCAAAATATACTAACTTTGGAAGTTTCCAACCGAATCACCGTTTTAATCAGGAGTATCTTATGCTGGTTTGTGGTACAAATCTCACTTAATTTCCTGTTCAGCAGGAGATTATGAGATAAGTACTTTATTGGCAGTTCTAGAAAGTAGTTAATGCTCTTCCTGATAGCTCAAAAATTAGTAAAAATAAATTGGGATCTTCTTGGTAATCACACCTTCTAGGGTTAACCATATTTGCGCCAGGGGCACTGGACACCCTGTCACTCTATGATTGGGGCTTAACTCATATTCTGGTGCATGTGGGCTTTGTGCACAAGAGGGAGCTTACCCTTTTGATTACCAGATTCTGTGAGCTGCACTGTTTAAACCCTCCTCCTCCCCCACAAAAAAGTGTATTTAAAATTATAAAACGACACACCAGTATAGGTCCTGTTTGCTACACATGACCATAATCTGTAGAATCAACAGGGATCAGCATTGGCATTGATGTCTGTAATTCATCACCCTGTGGATTACTGCACACATCAAATTCTTTCTGATTATACATAGTTCAGCTTTGAGAATTTCTATTGAAACTTTACAATGAGCAGACCTGAATGGAAGAAAAGCATGAATTAAAGGGACACTCCAATTCCCAAATAAAAAACAAACTACTTTGTGTGTGTGTATGTGTATAATATATATATACACACACACACACACACACCATTAAGGATTTATTTACTCATCTAATTACAGTGCCGATGTTCGTGTTGGGTCGCCACCTCAGACGTCCTGTAATGGGGCGGATTTAAGGTGCATGTGCTTTCCTATGGGGTTTTCACTGACGCTGGATGTCGTCATGCAGAGTGTGAGGACGTCCTGCGTCATTTTAAGGGTAAACACCCGGAAGCGCCTCTAGTGACTGTCTGATGGACAGCCTGTGGAGGCTGTCTTAGTACTGCAATGTAAATGTTACAGTTTCTCAAAAAATGCAATTTTTACATTGCAGGACTAGGATGGACAGGGACATTGTATACAGACCATTTCAAGGAGCTGAAATGGCATTAGTGCTTACAGTGACCCTTTTAAATCTTGTCCATAATCCTTATTCACAGCTCTTGTTTATACTAGATATCAGGAATAGGAAACCTACAGCAGTCCAGATGTTTTGGACTACACCTCCTATGATATTGTGTCATTATTGTGGACTTCATTTCCCATAATTACATGCTTTATACATGACAAAGCATCACAGGGTATGCAGTCCAAAACATCTGGACTGCCAAAGGTTGCTTATCCCTGATCTATATGATTACCAGCCTGTACAGCGGGCACTCCAGATGTTGTGGACTATATCTAACCTAATGGTTTTTCCTGCAGTGTGGTTATAAGTGCACTACGGAAGATGTTGTCCACAGCATCAGGAGTGCCAAAGGTTTCCTACCACTGCCGGAGGAGGAACAGATTACTCTGCCAGAAGTCACTAATATAATTCCTGCAATTTAGCTGAAAATCAGCCCACCGTCTGCTTTCACAAAGTAAAGGAAGTTTAAATGGGTGATGTCATTCTTACAGTGAGGGTGTGGGGGCAAGAGTGAAAAGACCATTTCACTGTTGTCATTACATTAGCACTCTTGATATTGATAAAGATTGCTATTGCAGTTTTAAATAACATATTTTTACTGGATGTGGATGGATGCAGACATTCTGTTGTGTAAATTTACATTATTTAGAATTTCTACATGCTTCTGTAAAGCAATATGCACACAAAATAGCTGTGGTATATTATGTTGATATGCCAGTTATGCATCACTTGCTTCAAGTACATGTTGTACTAATACTTTTTTTTACCAAGAGTGCTTGAAAGTGACAGGGTTCCTAAGCTGTTTGGTTTCTTACAAGCATTACTCTATTACAGACTGGCACTAGAATGCATGCACAGATGTTACGAATTGATAGGCTGATTTTTTTTATTTTATTTTTTATATATATATATATATATTATTTTTTTATTTTTTTTATTTATTTTTTTATAAATATAAACTTCTACCGGCTTACCTCTTTGTTAAATATGCAGGCTTCACAAATGGACACTTGAAATTCTGAGCCATGTAAAGAAAAACCATAATACTTCCAGGTACTAGTCAGCAATACATGGAATGGGATGTGATTGGTGAAGGAGTTTTGATTTTCCTTAAGTTAAGCACCAGCTTGGATAATATTATTGACAAGCGAATGCTGATTGATCATACTTTATCATTGATCGCAGTGTTTCTAAGCCTTTTCAAACTAGCATCTCAAGAAAGTTCAGTTTTAATTAACATGCTGTAATTATGTTACAGACCTTTTTAAATAGCAGGATGGCTACTTCCAGCAACCACGTTTTGCAGACTTTATTCATTTAATAAAAGCTGGCTTCAAATACTGATGGTAGAATATGTTATTAATTCTTTGTATCCATGAACTACAGAATGCACACTATAACCACTTGCAAGTAAACAATGCTATTTATTATGCACATAAATAGTACTACACAAATAATACAAGAATCGGTAAACAAAATGACAAAAGGCAGCAGTTGGTTGCCGAAATGTTGGGGGTCTTGTGGCTCGTGTTTCTGTCCTAGGGCTGTGTGGAGCTTTGTTGATAGTGTACTAATGCTTTTGTATTTGCCCTTGCTACTGTGATTTTGTTTTCTGATTCTTGTATTATTTGTGTAGTACTATTTATGTACATAATAAATTGCATTGTTTACTTACAAGCGCTTATAGTGTGCATTCTGTAGTTCATGGATGTTTGGATGCTTTGAACACCTGAGGGAGTGTTTATATGGCTTGCACCTTGCTTTTTTATGTGTTTTTGTCTCTCCATGTGCTTCTTATTTGTGGATAAATTCTATTGTATACTTTTTTTTTTTTTTTTTTTTTTTTCATGCTGATTTGAAAACCCAGGTTGAGTAGCAACTATTCACGAATGTGTTGTTATTCTAGTCTTTTGGTGTTCCCTGCCTGGTGGGATGCATGGTTGTGGTTTTAAAAAAATATTATTATAATAAATGATCACTCCTAATGCCATAACCACTACAGCTAGCAGGGCTTAGCTCAGACAACCTAATGAATGTTTCTGCACCGGCTCTTTGGTGTTGGCAGTGGAGTACAGAGCTTCTCTCATTTTTGTGAGAGATAAGATGAACTAAGCGCTGCATCCGGCTTAGGAACTTGTCTGTTTTGGCATTGGTAGTGGAGGCGGAATGTGGCGTCCAATGAACCCCAGGTATGAAGTCAAACTGCCCAAAAACAGTTTCACTATTTACAGTATTGACTTGACTGCTGAGGCCCAGTGGTTATGGTGCTTGTGTTCCTTTAAACAAATTTTAGATCTGCTACCATTTAATCTTTCTTGAGAAGGCTATGCACTCTCATGTTGCACATGCAAAACTGCATATGCATTGTGATTAACTTTTCTAAGGCTGTTCAGTTTTGTTTAGGGACTTTTTAATTCTATTATGCAAGTGCAACCCTAGCTGATTCTTATCACCTCTCTCATACTTGGCATGCTTTATATCCACGTATGCTGTACTCCTCTTGACATGTAATATGCTGTAACTGCTGCCAAAGTGTGTCAGGGATCCTGATATATATTTATTATTATTTATTTTTTTCTCCCTCCCTCCCCCTCTCCCTCCTTGCAGCAGGGTAGCCCTATGAAGCTTCATGTGAGTGGCAATAATTGTAGAATTCTTTTTAGGGTTGGTATGCCTAGTATGCAGCACTATCAAAATTCTAGAACCATGTCCCATTTTAAAAATGCCATTTGGGCCTTGAAAGATTTGCAGATATTCTGGTGGTGATTACTTGTACTATAGCTTCATTGATGAAAATGATGCTACTTTGTTGGAAAGATTTTGTTTTCTATGGATTTATGAAAAGATGTTGCTGACCATGCTATTTTGAAATGGCTATATGTGCCTGTGTGGTACATTTACAACCATAACAGCACAATTGAGAATGTGAGAGGTTCACTGTTATTCCTCTCTTTTTCACTGGAAGTGTTTAAAATATTTTATGTATTTTTGTAATAGATTCAAAGACTAAAATTTTTGGTATCTAACCTTTTTTTTTTTTTAATGACGTTTTATATTGGTATATATTATGCGCACACACTACTGCAAGACAAAAACAATCTGTACTCATAGGTTAGCTCAATATATCCACTCTGTACCTGGTGCTTAATCCAGCATGTATATTCTCCAATTCACCCATCTATACATTATTTTCAGAGCCAACTAATTTAATTTTATTTATATATATATTTATTCCCATTAAAAACACCTGACTTAGGTGAAAATTATAGGGCTTCAGTTGCAGTATATGATCATACATTGTATAAGCCTGCCAAGATGGCCACGTACCTCATTTTTGTCAGGTCTTACTCTAGCAAATCTAATTCCTGCTGTTATGAGATTAGCCCATATATATATTTCAAGTTTAGATTGTATACTACAAGCAATGAATACAAAAATAGAATTCAAGATCTGCATGTTTTCTCTTGTGTGATTTAGGCAGCCCTGGGGAAAGCCTTCATGTTTGTGCACAGGTGTTATACAAATAGTAAGCCTTGTGATCCCCAGGGTAGCCTCAAGCTCACTTTAGCGTGGATCACATTTTGAAACTGCATGGTTTGAAGTCCATAAATTTATATCAAACAGCCGGGCATAGAATAGACAGTTGTATTATCTCTCTGCTTATTGGATTCCTGCTGTCATTTTGGCAGAGCTGAAAAGGTTAACTCTCTGATTAAGCTTGGACAGTATCCTCCCATGCCTTAGTGTTCAGTCTCTTGTTTCTTAGGGCAGGGTGGATACAGTTTGTTTTGTTTAGTTTTTTAAAACATTTATTTTTATGTAAATTGTATTTTTATTTTTTTATTTAAATCCGATTTATTTTCATAAAATGCCCAAGCAAACCATTGTGGTTTAATTTTTTTAATTTTTTTTAAATGTATTTTGTTTAAATACGCAATTTAACAAACATTGTTTAAGCAAATACAATAATAGGTATGCTATTTAATGGTGTTTTAGTTAAATAAAACATTTGAAATCGTTCTCCAAATATGAGTGATTAAGCTATTAATCTGGAGATAGTTCACCGTGCAAAGATTTCTTCATTGTCTATATATTTCTAATGGTATATAATATCTGTTCTGATATAACTGCTGAACTAAACTGAAAGGTTATTAGTCTAAATATGAAATCCTAATCTGGCTGCAAATATTAAAATTATAATAATCGGTAAGAATGAGAAAAAGTCATGATTTTAATTGAGCTTTACCGAATAGTGATTTAAATCAAATCCACTGGCTTAGGTTAAAGGAAATCTCCAATTTTGATGCTAAACTGCCTTTAGCCTCCTAGCACTAAAACCACTACAATTAGCTGTAGTGATTATGGTGCTAGGAGTGTCTGTTTAACAAGCAGGAGTTACTGGTTGCATATAAACTGTTAATTAGCAGAAAACCGAAAAAAAGAGTAGGCACTGATAGTAATGTTACAAATATATATGATAGACATATTTTTTTTTTTACATTCTGATTTCAATTCCCTACAATTCAGTTTCATAGTGTCTACATTAATCTCCGTACAGTATGAAACCAAAACTCTCTGAAGACTGTTTAATAACCCACTATTCCATTAATTGTTTGTATCCCAGTGTAATACGTGTTTCATTAATACTCTGTTGTCTTTTCTAGGCTTTTAGGGGTTGCTCTCCTGTTCTCTACCTTCTTTCTCCCTGCCCTGAGTGTGGACAGAAGCAACTTCAAGACATGCGATCAAAGCTCATTCTGCAAGTCAGTATCTCAGAAAGGGTTCTAGTACAGACCTCCTCCCTCTCAAACTCCTAAAATATTATCCTGAATACTTTGATTTACCTCTATAAGCTCACACCTTCCAGCAGTGGGAGATATGGTTGGTCCAGAAGGCAGTGTATGCAGAATAGGATGCTTGCGTTGCAACCTCACTGGGGAGACCCACACAGAGCAAACCATTCACAGCTCTTTTTAAGTTTGAATGCATCTTGAGTGAGTTTAAAAAATATTCTTGTGTTACTGTATTGAGGGATATTCCCAATTGTCCCTAGATGGAGAAAACCAGGGAGCAAACCAGGGCAGTGGGGTAGTAGTTAGGATAGTCCTGCTGGATACAGGACTGTTTGGAGGCATGTTACCTGTTACTGACACCCAATGTTCGAATGCATCATTTAGAAAATGCGTTGCTATTTATGCAAAACTTAAATTTAAAAAAATACTCTCATTCAAACATCTTTAATAGCATAGTTGACCGAGGCTCTCTGCAGATAGACAGACAGATATCTCCCTCTTCAGGAAGACACTCAATCAATCGAGAGCCTCTTATTCTGTTTTTCAACATTGGTTTAATAGATAAGTAATTTAATTCCAGACCTTTGTTCAATTCATAATTTAGGATGATTTGATCTGTTCAATAAGCTGATAGCATCAATACTGCAACTGTTATCAGTTTATACACATCCCAGTTCAGTTTTGTTAACCATTTGTGCACTGCAAATCTTCAAAACCACCAACCATAGTGCGCTCAAACTCATCTTTCTGCAAAGAGAAGGATCAAGCTACCACACATAACTTGGACCAAACTGACTTTGTAAATGGGGTGAATAAAAGCACTTTCTTTGTTGGATCTGAGCCAAGGTGACTGTTTAAACCAATGCAGCAGTAAGCCTCACTTGGTAATCTCTGCACCATACCATTTGCTATCATGTTATGGAACGCCTCACACTCCCTTTATCTTTGCATTAGCAAATTAATTGGTTGCATAACTGCTTATTAGTTGTTCTCTTCTGTGTGTGCAGGCAGGTGTAGTAAGGATTGCATGGCATGATAAATTATACTATTCATTTGTATTACTTCTCGTTCCCTTCAGACGTCAGCGAAAGCTAGAGCCAGGATCCTCCCCATACAGAGCGGTGCTGGGGAGCGCCAAACTGAGTGCCGACAAACTTGAGATCCAGCTCATCGATGATAAGAATCAGGTTTGTAGTGTTAAATAGTGTGACACAGGACAGCCAAGTAAATGAAGTATGGAATGGACCGTTGATACAATGACTGTCAGAACTCTTGATTGTACTGTTTCTTGCTAGGTATCTCTTCTCTTGGAAGTCTTTGGACTGAATGGGAATATGACCCGCATCAAAATTAATGAAATCAATCCCCTAAAGCCTCGTTATGAAGTCCCTGATGTACTACTTGGAACACCTATCCCTGCAAAGTAAGATGATCGTTTCTGCTATCCACGTCCAGTTTCTGATTTCTTTTTCCCAGCTATCAACAGAGCTCAGAAAAAGACACCTGTGGGATATGCTTGGGGGCTACTGCCTTGTATACCATGCAAGGTTAACAACTCTGGATCATAGTGAATTAAAATTTGTTGTGAAATTAAGGTGGTTATAACTGATTTGGAGAAACTTGGCTATTTGAATTTCAATCTACTATATTTGGAATTTAGTGGATACACTTTCTTGTGTAAAAATGTGCATGTCATGCCAGACTGCACCAAATTCATCAAGACATTGTGTGGGTAAAATAGCTAGCAAATGTATAGGTTTACTAAAATAGTCCCCTCCTATCACTCAGTTCTCTGCATACAGGTGTATGTATACCCAAAAAATTAACTGACTAAAGAGCGCAGGGAGACCCTTCTCCAGATGATCATGCTCCATTTCAGCAGCTACATCTCATGGGCTGTTGTTGCTGTGATTTATTTTCTGTCATGCATGAGATTGACTCCACTGGCTTGGAAAGTTGGCACTTTATTTACACTCCAAGCACTTGCAATGAAGCAAGGGGAGGAGTTGCCCTGCTTTGTGATTAGTTGATGTGGTTGTGAGAGAGTTGGGGGACACTGGGAAGCCTTGGTATTATGCTAGCATTAACCCACACATTCGCGGATTCATATTTGTTGCAACAGAGTCGTAGATAAGGTAATTGTTTCGTCTACAGCACTGAATGCAAGATATTTCCATATGACAAATTAATTTTATTGTAATTTCGTAAGGAAATATAAGCAAGAAAAGTGAATTTTCAGGATAGATGCACTTTATTGAGTAAATGGCATTTCCTCCAACAGATATGCAGTCAGCAAGACCACCTTCAAGTTGGCTTAATCTACAGATTGTGGCAGGGAAATCCCTAGCAAATTTACAGAAAAAGACCTGATTACCGACAACTTGCCTATGTCTTGTATTTTGTTTTCAAAGTGAAAGCATCATCCACTTGCCCCAAGCAGGGCAATGTTCAGCTTGCTCCTGGCTCCAAGTATTGTGAGATGCCAACTTTATGTATGTGGGAAAGCACTCCTTCTAAATAGCTATAGTTTTCTATCTCTGCCATATAGATAAAAGGATATTTGGGAAATATTTCAACATGTACAGCTATACAGTTTTATTTTAACAATACATACATTAAATGAACACTATAGGTTCAGGAATATTACTTGGTGACCTTTTTGCGCAGCGCTGAGCACCGCTGGCCCTGCCCACGCTTTGCACCCTTGGCTGAGATAATCAAACTTGATGATGTCGGCCAATCCATTGCTTTCCCATAGAAAATCATTGGAAGGCTATCGTGTCTGCGCAGCAAAATGCTGGTCTGCGCCAATCGGCATCTGCTCATGAGATACATTGAATCAATTAATCTCTATGGGGAATGTTCAGCACTTTACATTAAAATGCCTGCAGGGACATACTATACACACCAGAACTACATTATGCCTTAGTTGTTCTGGTGACTATACTGCCCGCTTAACTCTTTTACCGCTGAAAAGTTATGCGTTTTTTTTATTTTTTTTACATGACACAGTAAAATTAAAGTGGAAAATTACATTATTTAGCTTTTTTGAAACTTTAACCACAGTAAATTGATTACTTTGTGACTTGGGAATCAGCATTCAAGTCAGTCCTGTTTTGATGCACACTTCTTTCAATTTATACCTGTGGTGTGTCTACAGCTTGCAAGTGACTGGACAAGATGACAATACTCTGGAGCTGTCACTAGGAGGAGCAGAGCACAAACTGTTGGTAACAGGGACACCTTTCCGTCTGGACATCCTATCAGGAAGAGACTTGGTCCTGAGTGTCAATTCGCGAGGCCTGCTTCACTTTGAACGCCTGCGGGAAAGGAAGGACACGTGAGTGAGGCAGGATTATGATTGACTAGGGTGTGGGTGAGTTACTTTTACACTGTAAAAATGATGGTGTGGGGTTTGTATGTAACGAACGTAAGGGGCAGCAGTCTTGATTTTGTAATGGGGGGCTAATGAGAAGTTAATCCGGGTTTTACAGGGAAAGGTATTATTTTAGGATATGTACTGAAATGTGTTTTCTTTCTTTTTTGCTTTTTGCTCTGTGCCCCATCCCTTTCTTTCTGCCCTTCCATTTCCCCTTCTTCTGCTCCTACCACATCACCTCCCAGTATCTCGGCTAAAGTTAGTAGTGCTGTCGGTAACATGTGGCATAAAGTGAAGAGTCTATTCTCTAGGTAATCACGGATACACGACACTGCACATTGACTTTCGCACCTCATACAGCAATTTTATAATCTCACTTAAACACTTTTTTATAATTCCTACATGTCACGTAGCCTTGGCACAGGCACACACTCTCCACTTGTTTTATATGTTACATATTCTAGAACACATTGACATTGCAGGCTTTGCCATTAATATAAAGATTAGTTGTAAGTTTTGGTTTTCTTTAACTGATACACAAGTTGCCCCATGATGTTTCAGAACTCTTCCCGTTGGAGCCTGCTTAGCACTGTTTAAATGCTTGTTTCTGTCACTACAACTGTGGAGTACTTATTAAATGCCAAAGCCTCCTTCCCTAAGCATATGCTACCCTCATCTTCTAATCCTGTCCTTCCACTCTATTCCTTCACTCTGCTACCCACCCCCATATGTTCTACTGCCTCTGGAAGCACCACTCCTCACCCCTCGTCTTTGTTCGGCTTGTAGTGACACTGAGAAGACTGATGTGCCACCTGAAGGTGATGATGGAAATCCAGGAGAGGAGGAGGCAACAAAAGAAGAAGAGAGCAAGAAGGTGAGCCATGAGATAAAATATTAACATACCATTTATTTAAAACATTACTACGAGCGTGTATGTAGCCTAAGTGATGGTCTGTATCTATTCAGAAATACATAAATATTAAAATTCAGTCATTTCTATTGTGTTTTAAATGCTACAGGAAATGAAGAAAGTTAATTTGTTTAGTAATGCAAACCTTCATACATTTCTGTATTTCCGATTCAGGTTGATGAGGATGAACCTGGCATGTGGGATGAAACGTTTAAAACGCATACAGACACCAAACCTAATGGTGAGAACCTGTTGTTGGTCTGTCAATATGTAGTGAGTTTACTTTCTTTCAAATATTAGATGCTAGAATATTTATTCAGAAATTACATTTATTAAAGGCATTTTTACAGTACACTTTGTGTGAATGACTCTTAACAAGTAGGATGTGGAGTTTTCCCTTCTTGCCTCAATTTTATTATATGGGCAGGTAGTTTTGAAATGTAGAAAAAAAGTTCATGACAGTGGTGGGGCCACTTAACTTTTATTCTATAGGCTAATAAAAAGCTAAAAGAATAAAACCACAATCACAGGCCCTTTTTCATTTTTTTTTTTTATATATTTTTTTTTTTTTTATATTCATAGTTTTGAGATGCGCAGTCAACATCAATAGCAACAGTGTCAATTACCTATACAGTAGTAACATTATTGAATGAGACATCATGAGCTTTGTGTCTGGGGTGGAGTGTTCTGTGTACATTGTGCATTATTTTTACTGAAGGTAAACATGAAAAAATGTTTAACATATAACTGGGAGATAGGATGAGATGATGGGAGGGGGCTAGGGTGAAAGAAGGTCTGGTATCAAAATTGTCTGTTTACATGGGGTTACACACCACACCATTGTCAACATTTTGGTGTACAGTATTATGATCTCTAGTGTTTCAATAAATTTTGGTTCATTATACTTGGTTCGATGCACCTTTTACTCTTTGTCAAGGTTGCTGTGGTGTTTTCATAGTATCATATTTGTGTGGGAGTGAGGGTCATTTATATCGTCCCTTTGCGTATTGGCAATCAGACGTTTACTGTCCAGTGAGGAACTTGTGTATAAGCTAGGCTACATTTCCCCTGTGCTATGAGTTATTGAGTAACTCGGTTGCATCCTTCCTTGTACGGTTTAGGTTTTGCAGGAGTATTTCCATCCAACAGTTTTAGAGGATGGACTCAGCTGTCGGAGGGGTTTGCTCCTGCCAATGTGGCATTTCCCTTTTTTTGTCATCAAGAGTTTGACAGTCCTTTCCAAATATAAAATACCGCTGTGAACAAGACTTTCAAGGTAATGAGGTCCACGTAAACATCTGAATAACTGATTTCAAAACTAGCAGTATGCAGTCAGCAGACCTTTTTATTTGTAACTGGTGAGATCAGTGCACCAGACAGTCACGCCAGTCAGAAGCATCTGTAAAAGCTCCAGACATCTTGGCGCAGTTGTCATGACACTGCCGACAATGACTTGTCACAAAGTCCAAATCTACTTGGTGAGTACAGTAAAGTCAGAGGAAATTATATTATGCCTAAGGATTCAATGTGCAGCAAGCAATAATTGGCTTGACTTATTGCAGACCTTCACCTTAAAGGGAACACTATTCACTTTCAGAAAATACAAGTTCTAAATATTGGTGAGGAAATATTCTTTTTATAAGAGACTTTTCAGAGAAAATGCAGTGTTTACATTACTGCCTAGTAGCAGTCACTCAGACAGCCTCTAGAGTTGCTTCCTGGGTCAGTGCTGCAAAGTTCAAACTCTGCATGGAGCTTCTGAAAGTTCATTCACTGTTTTGGCCGCCATGAAAATACCTGGATTAAATTGACTGTTAAGCTGTCACTTGGGGAAAAACTGTTCTTTCAGGACTGTGTAGAGAATGCTGGCATTAGTAGCTCCTCTGTTGGATCATAGAATCAATTGACTTCAGTTTTAAGGTTCCCTAGAATACTTCACATCATATTCTACCACTTAATTAATCTTTTCCAACTTGTGTGTGCATGTATATATGTATACATACACACTTCACCCCGAAGTCGGTCCTTATCTTTTCATTAAATGACTTCCTGATTGGAAGGTAAACAGTGTAGCTCCGCCAATAAGAGATCAGTGGGACTCAAGCTGCTTAAAACTCTAAGGGGAAAGCAGATAATGAGAATTCAATGATTGGCTGTGGGGTGAAGCCACATCAGCTACTTGGCTCACACAACTCAAACTCCATCATTGGCTGAGGTCAGTGCATACTTTGCAGTATGTCTAATAAGGAAGCTGTGAGGAGGAGGCATTAACAAAGGGACAGAAAGTTGCAAAAATGGGTTTTGTGTTTGTTTTTTTTAAACTAGAGGTTAAAATCTACAAAATGCACAAAGTTGTGTTGCTGCCTGGAGTGTCCTTTTAATGTGCATATAACTCTCTGTGCAGGTCCCTCATCAGTGGGTCTGGATTTCTCTCTCCCGGGATTTGAACATGTTTATGGAATCCCAGAACATGCGGATAACCTGAGATTACGAACTACGGAGTAAGAAAATTGTCTGTTTTAGTATTTAATTTACTCAGTAGTTTCTTTTTAAAGCCAGCACACAAACATTTGTCAGTACAGTAGTAAAATGGATTCCAGAGTTAAGTTGTTTAGGTGAGAAACGTCAGAGACCTTTCCATAAAATATCTTAAATATACTATTTCTTCTTTTTTCCATAGATGACCTCTTTGTTCACCCATACTTAAAGATAATATAAGTTTTGGCTTTGTCTGTTGTGTTTTGTGTGTGTGTGTGTGTGTGTGTATCCAGCTATCTATCTATCTATCTCAATCATATCATGCCAGTTTAGATTAATGAGAGTGTCTGTTGCAATTTAATCCAGAGATCAAATCTGCTATAATATCTACTACTTCATCTATCTGTTAGGGATACAAATGTTTTGCTATATTTGTTCTAGGTTAACCTTGGTTTGCATGTGGCACGGGTTTATTTGCAGTACCCACAAGCAAAGTTACAACTACTGGCACTTTTTGTTTATAATTGGAAGCCCTTTTTCACACTGTATCACTTGCTCTCTGTCTTTTAGGAGTACAGACCCATATAGACTGTATAATCTGGATGTATTTCAATATGAGCTGTATAATACCATGGCTTTGTATGGGTCCGTACCGCTGCTCCTTGCTCATAATGTTCAAAGAACATTAGGCATCTTCTGGCTAAATGCTGCTGAGACCTGGGTTGATATCAGCTCCAACACAGCTGGGAAGGTGAGTTAAATGACCTGAAAGGTCCTGAAAGTGTGTAAAGCTGTCATTCTAAATAATAAGTGCTATAAATGTGCTTTTTGTTCCAGACTCTGCTGGGCAAGATGTTCCAATACATTCATGGAGGTGGGGAGACACCCCAGACAGATGTACGTTGGATGTCAGAGAGTGGGATCATTGATGTCTTTGTTCTTCTTGGACCCACACCTCATGATGTGTTCAAACAGTATGCCAGCCTTACAGGTGTGTAGAATTTGTATATAACGGATATAATACAACTTAATTTCCAAGCAATACAGGCATACACTGGTAAAAACCTCAAAGTTTGAGAGCACATCACTAGTCCTACGCAGTTTGCAATCTATCTGGAGTATTGATTAACCTCTTAAGATAACAGAATGTCATAGTTTAGATTTAGTCGATAGCTGTGTTGATTTATGCTTTGCATAGTCTGCCACATTCATGCAATATAATCTAATTAAATTCTAACTTTTACAAATATTCCCTCCCTTTGCTTAAAGGACCACTATAGTCACCCAGACCACTTCAGCTCAATTAAGTGGTCTGGGTGCCAGGTCCCTCCGGTTTTAACCCTTCACATGTAAACATAGCAGGGTTAATCCAACCTCTAGTGGCTGTCTTCCTGACAGCCGCTAGAAGAGCTTCTGCAACGCTGGATGCGAATTTAGCAGAACGTCAGTAGGAAAACATTGAGAAATGCTTTCCTATGGACTGTTTGAATACGCGCGCGGCACTTGCTGCGCATGTGCATTCCGCTCCACTCAGGAGCTGACTGCAGGGGAGGAGAGGTCACCAGCGCCGAGGGAGCCCGTCGCTGGATTAATGTAAGGGGGACCCTGAGGGTGAGGGTCCCACAAGGATGACAGTGTCAGGAAGACGGGTTTGTTTTCCTGACCCTATAATGATCCTTTAAGATTCTGTTTTCCCTAGGCCCAGTAAAACATTTACTGGGGTGACATGTACAGCCCCAACACAGCGATTTTGATTTTATTTATAAAGCGCCAGCAAATTCCATAGCCCTGTACATCACTGTTGCATCAGTATGCCATGTTTATTGGTATAATCAATGAAAATTGATTGACAGGAAGGTTTTTTTATTTTTTTATTTTAAATCTGTACTTTTACTGGAAAGTCTGATATCCCCTCAGGATTGTTCACTGAAGTGTGAATTGGAATTCAAAGTGAAGTACAAATTTCAGGCCAAAATTGTTGAATTGGATTTTTTTTATTTATTTTTTTGTCTTCTGCTATGGATTCATTTAAGCCACTTTGTGTTAACAAAATTAAACTTAATTTGAATTTCCATCAATTTACACTTTTGTGACGAACCATTGAAAGTTTACCATGACGAACCATTGAAAGTTTAGATTTTTTTTTATTTATTTGTCTTGTTTCTTATTTTTCTTTTCGTGATCTACTTTCACTTAAACCAATTATTCATGTACCATGGCACTTTAAAATGTCTCACCTGTATGTTTGTTTGCACAGGGACCCAGTCTCTGCCCCCATATTTCTCACTGGGCTACCACCAGTGCAGATGGAATTACAATGATGAAGATGATGTGCGCAATGTGGATGCTGGCTTTGATGAGCATGATCTGCCTTACGATGTTATCTGGCTGGACATAGAACACGCTGATGGGAAAAGATACTTTACATGGGATCCTCACAAATTCCCAACTCCTAAAGACATGCTGAGCAACTTGAAGGATAAAAGACGCAAGGTAAGGAGCACTAGAGTCATCTGTCCCCACTTTAGTTAATGGAGATAGATCCTCTGATTGTTGCCTCCATATTGTCACACTTTTTGTGCTTAGCACTACTACACAACATGTTGTTTTTATGTTGTGTTTTTTTTGTTTTTTAGATGGTTGCAATTGTTGATCCACACATAAAGATTGACAGCGGTTACAGGATTCACAATGAGATTCGATCGCGCGGTTTCTATGTCAAAAACAAAGATGGTGGAGATTATGAGGGGTGGTGTTGGCCAGGTAAGAATTACTCGACCTTCAGATGAGTGGCCAAATGTCTTGATTGGCACATGTGACTGTGTGCTTACATATGTTGAATATTAATACATTTAGTATACCTATGTAAGACTTGTGTGCAGCATTTTATTAATCCATATACATTGTTATTGCCCAACACCACAAGGCTAGAATTGTTACTCTCCACATGATAGCCATATGTTTACCCTATCATCCACAGTCATGCATAGCTTCCTCCTAGACACAAACCCATTTATCCATTCACAAACACGTTCTATTTCTGTTCTTTGGGTAGATGAGCTGTTTCAGTGGGACTCCCTGATTGGGCTCCTTGGCACCGATCTGTTCGTAGTTTCATTTTTGCCTAGAATGCATGCTGTGCATATTGCGTTCAACTAATTTGAATAGCACATGAGCTTTGTGGAGGAAATGGGGGTGTCCTTCTGGTAGAACACAAACACATATGTTGCAATGCATTCCACTGTCAGATGATGGAGCTCATACACATTGCCATATTTTGATACAGAGGATAGTTAAAATATTATGAATGACCTATTTATTCCTCTAGTTTATTTGTGCACAAGTCATTGGGGAAAAGCCACCTCTTAAGCAGCACAATTTTACCCCAGTAAAGGATGTAGATGAGCGCTTAATTTCTTATAATCAGCGGAGACAAATATTTACAGGAATTTTAAGTTTTCTAAATAATGGACTACTTCCATCAGAATTGTCGTCTAAGATACTACACAACAAATAGGATGTCAAAATACATTTTTGGATAATGGGAGATGAATTTCTAATGCTGATTTTGATACTTTTCGTCTAACAGGTTCCGCCGCTTATCCGGACTTCACTAATCCAGAAATGAGGGCCTGGTGGTCCAGTATGTTTGCATATGACCAGTATGAAGTAAGTGAGAAACCTGTTATAGCTGTATGTTTTATGATGGCAGAACTACTTTTCCATATATGTCTCTACTGCACTGTTTTCATAGCAATATCCTCTAATACATGCATTTCTGTTTTCTCCTTAGGGATCCACGGAAAATCTATTTGTATGGAATGATATGAATGAACCATCTGTTTTTAATGGCCCTGAAGTAACCATGCACAAAGATGCTATTCACTGGGGAGGCTGGGAGCACAGAGATATACACAATTTATATGGACTTTATGTGGTATGTAAAAGTTGTCCCGAGCACCTTTTCTGCCAACATGTATACATAGCATTTTATGTATTTGTTTATTGTTGAGGGAGAAGCGCACAGTAAGTTATTTGACTTCTTACTCATCTAAAACCCTTTCAACTTTACAAAAATTATACTCTTTGCAGTTATTATAGCAGGGCTCAAAATTTCAAGTCCAACCAGGGGTATAACTTTCAGTTTCAGTTAGGGACACCTTCCTAGAACCCTGGTCATTGATGTTTTGTTTTTGTTTTTTTCCATTAAATTTCAAGTTTATACAAACTTAATCAAAGTGTAAAAAAATAAAGACAAAAGAGGTTGGTTTGGAAAAATTGTGTTCAGCTATAGTCACAACCTTCTTGCCACAGTTACTCCATTCAGATTTAATTTGAACCCCGAGCCCTGCTGGCTGTGTGTAATATGCAAATCTGTCATGATGGCTGTTTGTGGATAATGTGTTTGTGCTGTTCTCACCAGATTATATAGGAGTAATTACTGCGGCCTGCACCGTCGTAGGTGCAGACAACAAGCTCCCTGTTGTACCCTGGACCCCTAAGAGCAGTCCTGCCTCTTGACCACGGCAAAAAAAAAGCCAACCTTGTGCCCAAAACTACATGTCCCAGATATCTGACCATACAACTTTCACATCTCTGTCCAACTCTACTAGACCGTATAAGTCACTTTATCACTGTATGCTTCATGGGTCTATGGCACAATTACCAGGGTTGAATTTTTACTTGCTAGTGGAGGAGTGTAGATTTTGAGTCCTATTTGCCACCTTTTCTTTTAATTATTGTAATTAGTTTGTGTCTTATGTGTAAAATCTGTTACAAAGGTTAAACTCCTGTAGTTTACAATTTAATATTTGCGCTGTGTATGTGGCTAGTCTACCATATTACCTTTTAGTTGATTATTTGTTGTTGCAGTGATAATTACTAAAAAGCTATTAACTGTGTAAATATGTATGCCGGTAGTTGCATAGCATTAGCTTGGCAGCACTTTACAGTTTACTCAGACTCATTCTTCTACTGTACTGTAGTAATTTGTTGAAACTGCCTTAGCCATATCCGTGTCAAAGTAGATGCACTGGTGGAGGCAGTTTTGTTATAGTAAACTATTTCTTAATGCCTGATGGACCTGTCCCTGATGGTAAGGACCCATGGTGATGGCATGGTTACCAAATCTTGTGTCCTGAAACAGTGTGGATGGAACCACTGATGAATGCTTATATAGTTGGGGTGGACAACCTTTTACCAGCTATGCTAAAACAAGACTTTGAAGTCACTTGACATGCCGGTCCTATTATTATAAAATAACCTGTGTATGTTGCTCCATGCTGCTTGTGTTATGTAATAGTAATGCAGTTTATATGCACTTTCCACAGGGTATACAAAAAGAAAATAAATCTTACTCCATCTTGGAGACTTAATAAACAAAAGTATTCCTGTGACAAACTCCCCTTTGCAAGTGAGTTTGCCACAAGCTCCTGGAGGAACCTGCTTGCCAGCCTCCTACCCACAGACTATGGGCCCGGCAGGGAAATCTGTAAAAGACTGGCTTGGTTCATGTGATTGCCCTATGCTTTTCGGGAACCGAACCGCCACACAAACTATGGACCACCCGGGAGCTTGTTAAGCCTACTGGATACACTTGCAACGATCCTAACCGCAGTGTTCTAATGGTTCGTCTGGGTGGCCGCCGTTCGTATGCACAAACACGTGGTGGCGGCCATCTTGTTTGCACGAATGCAGGCAGCGGTGTTTGGTCGTCTAGTTCATGGAACTGAAAACGAACACGGAAACTTCCGAACACCGCTGAATTTCCATGGTCGCCTGCATTCGGTTTTATTTAACTTCGAAGAACACTGTTCGGTGGGATCATTCGTCTGGATTAAGGGAACAAGCTCCATGGTATGGCAATGGATTCTGTTCGGTAGTTTGTTCTTCCTTTTTTTTTTTTAACTACTGCACTTGATCGACCGCTACCACTTTTTTTTTTCCTGGAACTGTTTTGGGCATATACCATATGTGCGGTCGGTCAAATTATGACTTCCAGGGAAATTCCTGAACCGATCTGGGTGATCGTTGGATATTTGTGTGGTTTTTAAGTGTTTTAAAGGTATTTTGGGGGTTTTGTTATATTGTATGCTTTTCTGTGCCTTGAGATGTGCCTGGCTCTATTATCTCTCAGGCACAGAGGAGGAGTTTGTAACTTGTAACTAGTCCCCTCTCAGGTTCAGGAGAGGGATTATCCTGTTTGTGTGGGAGTGTCAGGGGCGTGCTTAACTGTGTCTGAAATTGGATAAAAGCAGGCCATCTGGCCAGATTAAAACATTCCAGCTTGTACTCCCAGAATTGTGTGTCGTCTGGTTACTGGGAGAGGAAAGGCCTAATCATTGTTCCAGTGTGGAGGATTTTACTGGGGGGAAGTCCTTGTAAAGACTAGACCTCCCAGGACTGAGTGTCGTCCAGTGCCTGGGGGTGGATAGAGCGAGTTCCCTATTCGGCTCCAAGAGGGAGCAGTTCCAGGGCCCCAGACAAGCCATGACAACTGTGGGCAGAGGTGCTGCGGTTTGTCCCCTGTTCTAGCTAGGAAGTGGTCCATGGTGGAGGTACCCAGCCAGGGGTACAGGGAGCTCCATTGAAATTCATTACTGTCCAACTGGCCTGCTAATCCAGTTCCCAGTTTTTAAGTTTAAACACAGCACTTTAAACATACTCCTCTAGACTGTAAGCTCGTTTGAGCAGGGTCCTCAACTACCTATTGTTCCTGTTACACTTTTTGTTATTGTCTCATTTGGTAAAATCTTCATTTTTTTTTTTTTTTTTATAGCACTGCGGAATAATCTGGTGCTTTATAAATACCAATAATAATACAGGCTTTTACACTGTACCTTTTGCTTTAGAGTCTTAGGCTTAACGGTCTCCTCTCTCCCAACTGTTAGACTCCCTGATGCCTTCAGAGGCTGACCTTTTAAAACATTAGTGCAGGTTAATTACTTGCACCTGAAAGGGCTGACTTCCACCCATTAACCCTATCATGCAGGGAATAAAGAGCGCTCCAATCTGTTATTCACATTGAAAGCCTCTCTGACCCTGCCACAATACACATACATACATGGAGTTGTGGGAGGGGCTAGTTTGGCTATTTAGAGTCCTCACTTCTTGTCTCCTATAACTGTATTGTTGTCTGCATAGCATGTCACGTCCGGTTCCAGATTTGCAAGTTGTAGTTTGTGACAACAAAAAATAATTTAAACAATTGTTGCATAAGGCTGCGACCTAACAATATATGAAAAAAAATTAATGGGTCTGTATACTTTCTGAATGCATTGTAGATATGTATATAAGCCTATGCATTTACTTATATTTTAAAGTATGAAAAGATGAATTTTTAAATTTGTTGAACAATTTTGTAATGCTTTTTTGCCTGTTTAGAGATACAAAAAAAGAAAATATGGGGTGAGGTTAAAAATAGCAAAGTTAATATTGCCATTATCCGGACCATGTTAAATGCTGGGAGAAGCCTTTAATTGCTACAATACTCGGTCATATTAAAATAACCTAGCATGTACAATACTTGTTCTTTGACCATTCCGGTGAAAGCTGCCATAATGATGATCGCTTTGTATCTACCCCACCTTTACAGCAAAAGGCCACAGCAGACGGTCTGATCCAGCGTTCAGGGGGAAAAGAGAGACCCTTTGTATTGACACGGGCTTTCTTTGCAGGTTCACAGCGCTATGGTAAGACTGTCAAAATCATTGCAGCTTCATTTGGCAGAAGTACTTGAATGCAGACACCTTAAAACAAGTTTTATCTTCTTTGTGTATTCCAGGTGCTGTGTGGACAGGAGACAATGCCGCCGAGTGGGATCACCTGAAAATATCTATCCCCATGTGTCTAAGTTTGTCTCTCGTTGGCATATCGTTCTGTGGAGGTTTGTGTTTGTTTCTCTTCTGTTTCAGCAACTTATTTTTCACAATTATCCTATTTTATTCATGCATTTATTTTAGAATATATCCTACTTGCCTGATTTCTCTTTCTCTAGCTGATGTTGGAGGATTCTTTAAAAACCCAGAAACAGAGTTACTTGTTCGCTGGTATCAGGCTGGAGCTTACCAACCCTTCTTCCGGGCTCATGCCCACTTGGACACTCCTCGTCGGGAACCATGGCTTCACGGTGATGACAATTTAAAATTGATCCGCGAGGTTCTCCAGCAGCGCTATGCTCTGCTCCCATTCTGGTACACAGAGTTCTACCGTGCTTGGCGTGATGCAGAGCCTGTCATGAGGTGAGTGGAGAGACAAATCAACTAGTTTGTAAATTTTGTACAAATTAAGATGTAAACCTAATGCAGAGCACTTAAATCAAAGGATCTTGACCAAGGAGATATTGTACTTAAAATGTTTTAAGACTAATACATAGGAAGAGAACTTTGAATTTGTTTGGAACAAATTGGACATTTAATTATTTTCTTTTTAGGCCACTATGGGTTGAATTTCCTACAGATGTTTCTACCTTTGCTATGGATGATCAATACATGATAGGTGAGTTTCAAGTATATAATTAAAGAATGTAAGAAGATTCTTTCATATACTGAATTCACTCTGTGAGCGTTTTTGGTCCAGAAAATTGCCTTGTTAGACTCAAAGTGTGGCCCTTTACACATCTACAGTATTTTACTGCTGTTAATGCAAAAGAAGGTGAAAAACTCAGTTTTTATTTCATTGGAAAAAATATTACCTGTGATCCAGTCGAAACAAGGTACCTTACCACAGCTTTTCTCTCCTCACCAAGAGTTCATCAGGACCGATATTCTTCTGGTGAATAAAATGTTTTAGAGAACCATTGGGAGGCAGGGCACATGCACGTCAGTAGACCATTTCATTGAATTGGTTATAGTTTCTGGAGTCTTCTGGCACTGTCCCTCCATTCAGTGTTAAACCATTTTCCAGCAGTTTAACAATATAAAATGGTCACAGGCCACTGACAGCCTGACCTCTACTGGAGATATGACTAAGGCAGAGAATACATAGTGATACGTAGAGCTCTAGAGCCAATTACGGGTGCTCATTGCTTCTTCATTGGCCCCAGCAGCAGAGGGGATGGGCTGCTGGGGACTATCATTAGCATTAAAACATTAGGGATTTAACGCTGAATGGAAGGACTGTGCCAGGGAACTCCAGGCACTATAAGCACTGCTATAACACTGTAAATCCCTTGACATCCTGTTCCTTAGCCTCCACATGTTACAATAGCTTAAAACCGTATTGTCTGTAGATTTTGTTTATTTTTTTTTACATTTTATATTTTTTGTTTTAATTATATTGGTGTAGTGAACATCAGCCACTCACAGCGCAGTAGGAGGTAACATTAGCTACATTATACCATGATTTAAGATGAAAAGGGAAGTGCTTTGGGAGGAGTATGCTGCTTTCCTGCAGGTCCCTTTAAACACAATGGTTCCTTCTTTTCATTACTGATGGTATAGTATCTTCTGTCCTACAAGTAGATTATCATAAAAATGGTCTTACTTTCAGTGTGTTCATTACTGAATAATTTTAAATCTCAAGTGTTTAATCAAAGTTACTGTTCTGCCACAAAGTAAGATTACAGTATAGTAGAATAGAAAGCATAAAACATAATTAAACAATGTTAATGTGTAATAAGTTATACAGAACTAGTCACCCAAAATTGTTGCCTTTGATTACTCACAAACTTTTTTTTTTTTTTTAATATATTTCCTGCTAGTCTATCCGGGGAATGATAGAGGTGGGGGGGACCTTTAGTGTACTGCCAGTTTAAATAGTAAAACTAGAAAGTAATAAATTTAACTCCTGAACTTAGTTGCACAAATTCACTATAATTTTGTAGAAACACACATTTATGAAGTCTGTCGATCCCCTTATTCTCCACCCCCTCTTTTGTGGTTCTGTATTCTTCAAATTTCCAATGTTTCAGTTACAGTGGGTCTCTGATGCTTTCAGATTCACTTCCTCCCCTTTCTTTCGTCCCCATTTTTCCTCTTACTTTGTCCATCAGACCTTGATAAAGACTTTCTGTATGTACATACACAGTGAGATGCATGGATACATATTCTTATTGCCTTTTGTAGGTTCTGCTCTCCTGGTGCATCCTGTAACAGAAGCCAATTCACGTGGGGTCCAGATCTACCTGCCAGGGGTTGGAGAGGTAAATAGAGCTATTCACTTGTTTTCATGTAAAGAAACAGCTGTTAACTACTGTATTGTCTGTTATCTCTATCTCTTTTACTCCCATCCTGCAGGTCTTTTATGATGTACACTCCTACCAGAAGTACGAGGCTCCTCAGTCATTCTACCTACCAGTCACTAGCAGCTCAGTAAGTAGGGATTCTTGCCGTTCAAAAATACTGTATAAACCTTTGTGCAACCTTTCAAAAACTACTGAATCCTTCACATTATTTGCTTTTCATACTTTAGTATTCTGACTTTTTTTTTTTTCTATCTGAAAATTCCTGCTACTTCTGCCATTTGCTTGCCTCTCTTTGTCAGTTCCCCTCACTGCTTAAATATACTTCTAGATCCCAGTGTACCAGCGTGGTGGAACAATCATCCCTCGTAAGAACCGTCCAAGACGTTCCTCAGACTGTATGCATGATGACCCTTTTACTTTACATGTGGCACTTAATCTACAGGTCAGTTATTTCACTTTCTTGGTCTGATAATTATACTCCTTTCTAAAGACCCCATTTAGTCCTATGAAACCAGCCACTCTTACTCTTCATGTTCTGTCATAGATCAGTTCAATGTATAACTTCTTCACCATTATCTGTATTTGTGCAATGATTCTTTCTTTTGATTCTCTAGGGTGAGGCTCGAGGCGAGCTCTTCATAGACGATGGTCACAGTTTTAACTATGAACAAAATGAGTTCCTGTATCGAGAATTTAACTACAGTAGAGGAGAGTTGAAATCAAGGTATGTGGTGAATGATGAGGCCCTATAATTTCAAACAAATTAATAGTGTATAGTCTTTTACTGCCTTGTGCCAAAGCTTTAATAGCAGAGAGAATATGGAGACCTGTGATGAGCAAGTTACAAAGAAAGAGATGAGGTCACTTGCAAGGAACTGAGGAGTGTAATATCAAATTTTGTGGGAGAACCGTACAGGTTAAAAAGGAACATTAAGAATTTGGATGAGCTTTGAGTTATTTGGAGAATAAGAACTGATAACCTGTCTCTTTCTTGCAGTTCCCTGGACCCTCGTGGAAATTTTGAGACTTCAAGTTGGCTAGAGAGAGTAATAATTATTGGAGCATCACAGCCAACTAGTGTAACACTGAGCCTCTTAGGTATGTTTTACTGCACATATCATAGTTATAGGGTTTAATAAATCTTTAGATGGGTCAGGGCTTTGAGTGATTGTTGCCAAAAAGGAGCACAGGGAATGAATGCCTTACGTATAGTGCCACATAAATAGGAAAAATATATGTAATTGAATTGTATGAAGAATGGGTCTCCCAACATGACTGCAACATGTTATACTTGACCAGGTCCTTGTGTTAAAGTATTCTTTTCTCTTTGCAGGAGGTTCTGAAACACCGCTGGAGTTTGAATATGACGCTCACACGTCTGTGATTACTGTACGAAAACCAGGAGTAAACATTGCAGCAGATTTTACAATATCCTTGCGATAACATCATATATTTCATATCTTGAAGGGGGAGGGAAGAGGAGGACTTTTTCTTCCCAAATGTGAGGGCATGAGGGATGGACTTAATCCATGGACCAAATGTGAGATTAAATTTGAGCGTTCGTAGAATGGTGGCGAGTGTTTGCGTGAATGTATGTGGAAATGCATGAGAACGGACCTCTTCTGCACTTATAGAATGTGTGTGTGTAGCTGGATCATGCACTGTCGCTGCACCCGTCTCCCAACAGAGAGAGGGGCAAAAAATGGAGTTCACTGCTCCAAGATTCAACAAGAATCTGCCATGTGCCCCTCCTTCCCTATTCTGCCTCCCCTCAACGTTTCTTTTTTTTTTTTTTTTTTTTACTCCTGGGAATAATAGCATTGTGTCCCATGTGAGAGGATGTGGTAGTCTTCTTCACATCTTACATTAGAAAGCTACAAGCAAAAAATAAATACAATTCTCAGGGCTGCAGCCTTTTAAGGGAAGGTCAGAATCACTGTAAAAGGCAGGAAATAGTATAGGACACATTAGCATGGTGGGCTAACCCCTAAGAAATGCCCTCCTCCATCCACTCTCCCTGGTCTGTATCTGATGGAGTACAGGGGTTTTCTCTTGTAGTTTATGGCTGGGGAGATATCAGTCCAGACCCTTGTGAGTGAAGGTTCGGAGGGAAGTTTCAATCATGTGACAAGACACAATCCTCCTCCTCCTCCCTCTGGGGCCCTTAATCCATCACTCATTTGATTGGAAACATTTTGATAAGATGAAAATAAAAACCTAAAATACAAATTTTGTGTCAGTCAATGTTTGCACAGTTCTGTACCTTCTACTAGAGTCCCTCATAATGGAATATCTCTATTTTACACTAGTAGCCAGGATTTAAGTCACTTGCCACTGTCCATTTCACACTGAGTGATGAATTTGTACTCTCCGGGGTTAAATTGTCACTTGCTAGTGGCGAGTTTAAATGTTGATCCTTGACCTACTGCCTCTTCCAGTTCCTCCATATATCTTAGTAACATTTTTCTTACTTTAAAGTAGCTAAAATGATCATACCCCAGCTTCATCTTGTGAGTCTTTAGACTACTGGTACATAAATTCAGCCCCAATATCTCTACTTTAATAATGAGAAACCTGTGCAATTCATGTATGCACAGGGATTTAAACAAATGTTAATTGTGACATGACAGTAACCAAACATTGGTGGTGTGTAGCCCCTTGGCCTACAAAAAATGTGTAAAAACTATTAAATCCAGCAAGAGGAAATAAGGGGTTCTGGTTTACCACTGATGGCAATCTTAAAAAGCTAGCTCAGGCACCGCAGGTGGCACTCGAAGTCTTTTTTGTCATTTCTGTTGAAAAAGGGGAGAGGGGCAGGAGGTGCTAGTATTTATTTTTTTTAGCTCTTTTTATTTATGCTCCACTCACACGTGTGAAAGGGCAGATGCATTAAATACAAAACGAGACATAAGGAGAAGAAACTGTATGAGCAGACATTAAGATAAAATGTCCCAAAAAAATAAACTCTTAAGCCCGATGGTTTTATGTGTTTATGAGCGAAGTTGATGGAGACCTCTTGGTGACTGGCCTTAAGCTAGGATTCTGTAGGCTCTGTCAGAAATGTTTAGGTCATTTCAAAAAGGTATATCCTTTTTTTTTTTTTTTACCAGTACTGTCAGAGTGTGAGTCAATTCATGCCAGCGTGTCTGGAAGGAAAATAAAGAAGTCAAAACTTATTTTACTATTATAAAACAAACCAAGAAGAAAAAAAAAAGGATAACGTGACTTTCCTCTAGGTACTGTGCCAGTTCTACAGCTGAATAGCAGTGCTGGCAAAATGGGAAGAACTCCAGGCAACAGGCCAGAGCCTGCACGATTTTACGCCTCTGGGTCCCGTTAAGCTATGGTTCAGGTCTAATCCTCGTAATGAGGCGGGGGGAGGAGAGACCAGGCCGAAGTAGTGGCCAAAGCCTGCAGAGGCTGTGTACACAATTTATTGGTTCTTAGGAGTTTGTGGCGTGTACAGTAACAAAGAAAATAAAAAATAAAAACCAGTAAACAAACTTTGAAATGCATGGAACATAAGTCCTGGTTAAGATTGAGTCTAGTGCCACTTGTAAGGTGCGGGTCCTCAGGTGGTGATTGTACGCATCTGGTATAGATCTCTGTGGGATGAATGGTTTGACTCTCGCAGGGTCCCATCTGTGCACCGCCTGGGTTGTGTTTCGGAGATGGGGTTGTGGCAAGGAATCCTCCGGCAGGCCCAATGTTCCCAGAAGAGCTGCTGCACACTACAAATAGAACACTGAATGATTCGGAGTGCTTCCGGCGATCGCCACTTGTATTGGATGCCATAACCTCTGAGCAAGGCAGTGAAGGACTATATGGTTTATCTCCATTGTAATGTGTCACCCAAAAGATCTGTATAGAATGTTAGCTCCAGATTTTCAAACTGGTATGGAGTAGTCCCCTTAAGTGCTGTTAAAGGACCACTCTACGCACCCAGACCACTTCAGCTTAATGAAGTGGTCTGGGTGCCAGGTCCTTCTAGGGTTAACCCATTTTTTTATAAACATAGCAGTTTCAGAGAAACTGCTATGTTTATCAATGGGTTAAGCCTACCTCCAAATCCTCTAGTGGCTGTCTCATTGACAGCCGCTAGAAGCGTGCTTCTCACTGTGAAAATCAGTGAGAGCACGCAAACGTCCATAGGAAAGCATTATGAATGCTTTCCTATGCGACCGGCTGAATGCTCGCGCAGCTCTTGCCGCGCATGCGCATTCAGCCAACGGGGCGGATCGGAGGAGGAGAGGAGGCAGAGAGCTCCCCGCCCAGCGCTGGAAAAAGGTAAGTTTTTTTTTTTTTCCCCTTCCAGAGCCGGGCGGGAGGGGGACCCTGAGGGTGTGGGGGCACCCTCAGGGCACTATAGTGCCAGGAAAACAAGTGTTTTCCTGGCACTATAGTGGTGCATTAATACTGCTGCCTTGTCAGCACTAGGTCTCTTGGTGCCGTCTCGGTTGCCCTTCTGGGTTTCAGGACTCTGAAGACCCCATCGAAGGATATGTTTCTGGCTTGTTCAGATGCAAGCAAGGTCCCCATTAGCCTCCTCATCAGGTGTGGGTAGCTCTGCTGCTGGGATTTCTCCTGGCACTCCCCTGACTTTAAGATTAAAACGGCGCATTTGATCCACCAGCACCGTGAAACACTAATGGGATGTTCTTGCTGGTTTTTGAGCTGTTAGATTTTGAGTTGAAGATCTTTAATATTCTGAGCGTGTGTACCTGTGGAGGCTCCCACTGTTCCCAAGCAGCCAACAAGGTTTGGCGATTCGGAGTAAGGCCATATCCCCCTGGATGGTCCTTTTGGAGATTGCCGAGCATTTCTGCGGTCACAGGTGTGGAATCTCCTGATTTCGGAGTCCCTCTTGGTTGTAGGGTTGGAAAATCCTTCCTCCTCTTACCTTTACTACTAGTTGTCTTTGTTAATATTTTTCTACATTTTTAAAAATAACTTAAAGGGACACTGTAGGCACCATAACTGCTTCTCACTGAAGTGGCTACAGCGTCTTGAGTCCCCTGGCAAAGTCCTTCCATTTGGCATTGAACCTTTTTTTAATGTTTTAATTCTTAACAAGTGTCCTCTGCAACCCATACCTCTGTTATGCATGTGCTAATGAGGAAACATTCGACTTGGCAGCAATAATTGGCTGAATCACTACTTTTAGCCTATCACAGTTCCCTTGCATGTGACTTATGTCTACTTGGAACTGTGTAATCTCATTAGGATCAGATCTGTGAAATTATTTGAATCACAAATTGTTTCCTTTAAGCCAGGAACAGAAACAAAGTACACACTCAGTATGTAAATTTCAGATAAATCTATCTGTTTAAAGGTTCTGGAAATATATCGGACATGAAATGAGATTTTTTCCCTCATTGCATAAATACAATGTGCATTGGTTGGGAGGTTCCAGGACCAGCAAAAGAATGGAAGAATATATAAAAGTGAGAATTTCTTGGAAATTCAGACTCAATAAGGCAATATTTAAATTGATTTGTGTAAAGGGTAGAATTTTGATTGTCAAATTTAAATATTCCTTTGTCTCGGTCTGTCTGACTCTATCTAGTATCTTTATAAGTCACTGAATCACTGACTACAATATGCGGTAGAGGCAGTTCTCCAAGTCCCAGGTAAATGCACAAGCATTTGCTGAGTGAATCTGGGTTACAGACAACACATGATGTGTAACTGTAGTATTAGTCTTTTAAAAATGTATCCATACAACATTAACAAAATATTTAAAGAAACATATTTTTATTAAGAAAAATATGTTCACTGTCTAGAGCAGGGGTAGTCAACCTGGTTTGGGATTTCAGGTGGGAGGTGGTGGGTTCTGCAGAAAACGCCTGTTGGGCCTCTCTGGCCGTCGAACAAGGCTGGCTGGGGAAGTACTTTCATCTTCCCTGCCAGCCCATGCAGAGCCAGTCTTGCTGTAAGACCTCTCAGGCTGGTGAGGTGATAAAGAACTCCCTCACTGGCACTTAGTTACAGTAGAGAGGGAAGGACCTGGGAGGCTCTGTGTTCCTCCTGCGAGCAGTCTGGTCGGAGCATCGCTGCACGTTACCATGGCAATGCTCCAATACAGTGCTATGCTCGCAGGAGGAGGAGCTGCAGGCTAAAGTGAACATGCCATGACTGTACTGCCAGGCATTGCAGCATTGTCTCCCCTCCCTGGTAAAAGGCAGAAGGGAGGGGGAGACATTAAAGGGACACTCCAGGCACCCAGTCCACTTCTGCCCATTGGAGTGGTCTGGGTGCCAACTCCCACTACCCTTAACCCTGCAACTGAAATGATTGCATTTTTTATAAACTGCAATAATTACCTTGCAGGGTTAACTCCTCCTCTAGAGGCTGTCTACTAGACAGCCACTAGAGGGCACTTCCGGGATTATAGCACCGACTTTCACTATGTGAGGACCTCCAGCGTCGCTAAAATCCCCATAGGAAAGCATTGAAAGCATTTCAATGCCGCGCATGCGCATTAGGACTCCCCCCGCCGGCGGGCGTGGTGACAGGGAGGAGCGTGGGCGGACCAAAAAGCAGCGCTGAGGGAATTCGTCTCTGCCTCTAAGTCACTGAAATGGTTTTGACCCCTTCAGCAACCGGGGATGGGAGGTGGGATAGGGGACCTGCAGTGCCAGGAAAACGGATTGTTTTCCTGGCACTGGAGAGTCCCTTTGAGATAGATTTTCACATCTCAACCACCTACACACAGCATAGACCCTATGCACCACTCAGACACAGACTGCCCCCCTCACACACACACACACCTCCCCCTGACACAGACTTCACCCCTCACACTGGCCAAAGTTAGCGTTAATATTGGTTTGTGTGAAAAATGCAAAAAAATAATTTGACCGCCAATTTTGGCCAGTGTTTGTGACTAAGTGGCTACTAAAAAAGACTGGACATACCTCATTTGCAATGCCTTGGATTGTCTTCTTTTGCAAATGGTATGCCATCATGGGGGTAATTCTCATTCCTAGGCTACCATACAGTCTCAAAGGCAACGTAACCAATCTGGCGAATTTCAATGTGAAAAAACTGAAACACAAGCCTTAAATTAGACTCTGTAACTTTTGAAAACCCCATAAAACCTGTCGTACGTGTAAGTGCAGTTTGTAAAAAATGCATTTTTACTGATATCACTGTTGTAATATATTTTACTGTTTTGAAACCCTAATATTTGCGTTCAGTGAAGTCTCCCTAGTAAAACAGTGCCCTAACAGTTTTAGGGTGTCTTGGAAAGTTACAGGTTAAATATAGTGCTAGCAAATTAAATTCTCTGGACTTTCTGCCTGGGTTATCAGGCAGGTCCCGCAAATTGCAATTAATAAAATGACTTAATTATGTAAAAATGTTATCTAGGAGCTGGGGGCATTTAGTCACTACGGTGTTACTGGCAGATGGGAGCAGGGAGGGAACGTTGGGCTTTTCTATATAGTCTAAATCTTAACCCTACTATCCCTGAATTATCTGTGTCACTATTGGACTAATGTGATACCTTTTAACTTATATCTACATTATGCCTTCCTTTTCCTCCTACTAGACATTAATTTCTCTATATATAGCAATTGTGCTTGTTTTTCTTTATTATTCTTCATTTTTAAATTATTAAAAGTTATATTATTGAATTAGGGGTTGCTTCAGTCATACTAGAAACCCGAAGGTGTACTACTCAGAATTTTTGTACCCTCTGGGCTTTCCTGTATTTTTCTTTTTCCTTAATAGTTTTTTTTTGTTTGTTTTAGTTTTAAAACTTTATTAGCATTTTTATATTTTAGTGTTTTTTTTATATTAGAGAAAATTTATAACAAACGTACCGTAATTTTCTTTTCCTGGCTATTTCTCATGGCAGCATCACTTATGGGTAGCCCCTCCCTTAGCAGTCACAGGACAGGAATTAGATTAATTAATTAGACTGATGGGTATAAAGAGTCCCTCCTCCCCTTACACCTCAGTCCAATTATAAAGCTGAAAAATAAAAGAATGGGCGGGAACCCTGATGCCGCCATGCGAAATAGCCAGGAAAAGAAAATTACGGTAAGTTTTCTCTATTCCTGGCTAATCATGGTAGCATCACTTATGGGTAATACCCAAGCTCACAGAATTATAGGGTGGGAATAATACACTGAGAAAAGACACTGAACAGACTCTTATGCTGCAAAGAAATTTAATATTAACGGGATAAAGAAACCGTAGACCGGATACTCTTCCCAAAGGAGGTGGAAGGAGAGTCCACATCCAGTTTGTAGTGTTTCAAGAACGTCATCGGGGAAGACCAGGTGGCTGCCCTGCAAATATCATCGTATAGAACCTCTGCCCAATTAGCCCATAAAGTCGACAATGCTCTAGTAGAATGAGTTCTTATCTTCATTGGAGGAGATCGACTTTTAGAGATGTATGCTTTCCTGATTACCAGTGAAATCCAACGTTTTAATGTAGAAAAAGAAGCCGCCTCACCTCTCCTGGCTCCCAACGGTAAAACGGAGAGTTGGTCAGTTTTTCGGTAAGACTCAGAACACTTAAGGTACATAGACAGGCAGTTCATGACATCCAAATGTTGCCATCTAACCTCCTCTTGCGAAGAAGGATTGGGGTAGAACGATGGAAGGACCACTTCTTGAGAGAGATGAAACTGAGAGACCACCTTACGAAGAAACTCAGGTTTTGGTTTCAGACACACCCTATCCTGATAGAATTGTAGACAAGAAGATAAGGTAGAAAATGCTTTAATCTCTGAAATTCTTCTTGCGGAAGTAATTGCCACCAAAAGCAGTTTTATACGTCAGGAGGGTAGCATCCAAACTTTCAAGAGGAACAAACAGATCCTCAGTTAGGTAACTGAGCACCAGTGGAAGGTCTCAAGGAGGGGTAGTAGATCTGAAAGAGGAGGTCTCAACCTGAAAGCTGCCTTAAAGAACCTGGAGATCAAAGAATCCGAAGTCCATGAGATGTTGCACAAAGCTGAAAGTGCCAAAGACTGAACCTTAAGAGTGTTGAGGCTAAGGCCCTTATCCAGACCCTCTTGCAGCAACTCCAAGATCTCAGTATTGTGAGGATGCAGGAAGTCAACATTTTTGGCCGAAGCCCATTCCCAGAACACATTCCAGATCCTATGGTTGCATGAGGAAGTAGAAGCTTTCCTCGATTGCAAAAGGGTATTGACCACTGCTTCTGAGAGCCTAATTGTTGAAGTCTTTCTTTTTCAAGACCCATACCCCCAATTTGAGGCATTCCGGATGAGGATGGAATATTGGGCCCTGCGTTAGCAGATCCTCCATAACAGGAAGAGGCCAAGGCTGTTCCTGGCTCATCATAGACAATAGGGGGAACCACGGCCTCCGAGGCCAAATCGGAATTATGGCAATAACCTTCTTTCCTTCCGACCAAACCTTCCGCAGGAACCTGGGGATCATGGGTAGGGGAGGGAACGCATACCCCAGATCGAATGACCAAGGAAGAGAGAGAGCCTCCTGGCCCATTGCCTGACTGTCCGGATGGAGGGAGAAGTAATTCTCCACCTGATGATTCTGGGAGGATGCCATCAGGTCGATCTGGGGCATGCCCCACCAATGGGCAATCCATGCAAAGACTGCCGGGTGAAGTTTCCATTCTCCCGGAAGAATTTCCTTTCTGTTGAGGAAGTCTGCAGTCACGTTCTCCGAACCCGGAAGATAGATCGCCTTCAGACCCTGGAGATTGGTCATGGTGATCGTCATCAAGGGAGCTAGTTCCTTCAAGAGCAATCTGCTTCTTGTGCCACCTTGGTTGTTCACATATGAAGCAACCGCTCGGTTGTCAGTTTTGATCAGTACCCAAGAATTTAAGATCCTTGGTAGGAACACCAAGATGGCCTTGGAAACAGCTCTCAGTTCTCTTAGATTTGAGTGTAGCTGACTCTCTTCTCGGGTCCACTTGCCTTGAGTCCATGTGGAATTGAAGTTGGCACACCATCCAAAAGAACTGGCATCTGTTGTAATAACCGTCCAAGGAGGTTCATCCAACGGGAAGCCTGCTGCCAAATTCTTCTTGTTCTTCCACCAGTTCAACCCTTTCCTCATGGGCAGGGGTAGAGAGATCCTTTGCTCCCAATCTGTTCCCACTCTTTCGAACTGGAGAAGGAAGCAATTCTGGATCAGACTAAAGTTGTCTCTGATTTTTGTGACCCTTTCCAGAGACAGGAACACATGGGCAGATACGGTGTTTATCACTGCTCCGAGGAATACGATCGTCTGAGAAGGAATCGGGAAGCTTTTTTCCATGTTCATTGCCACCAACGTGTGATGAGCTACTATCCTTTGAGATGGACCTATGATAAGGATGTTGTCCAAGTAATGGAAGATCTCCCTTATGAAGGCTATCAAAGTAACAAGAACTTTCAAGAACGTTCTTGGCGCCAAGCTGAGGCCAAACGGTAGTCCCCGGAACTGAAAGTGCCTTCCTAGCGTCCAGAACCTGAGAAACTGCATATGATCTCGGTTTATAGGGATTTGGTAGTAGGCGTCCCTCAAATCTATGGAGGTCATCCAGTCTCCTTTTTTGACGCTCTTCAAGATGGTCTGTAAAGATTCCATTTTGAATGTTCTTACATCGAGCATGGAGTTCACACCCTTCAAGTTCAAGATGAGACGCCACTTTCCCTGGGGTTTTTTGGGCCAGGAACACTGTGCAGTAAACCCCAAGGAACCTTTCCTGTCTTCTTCCATCACTTTCTGTTCCAGGAGATTAGTAGTCCTCGTGACCCTTCGTTTGATGCCTACCGACACCCTGGATTTTCTGAAGAAAGCAGATTTTGGGTGAGAGGATTCTTTCCTGTATCCCTCCTTTAAGTTGGATATGACCCACATGTCCATAATATTTTTGGCCCACACAGGTTAGAAGAACTTCAGTCTTCCTCCCACAGTCCCCGAAAGGGCCTGAAGACCTTCAGAAGTTCTTCCCAGAGGTTCTAGCTCCTCTTCCTCTGGAAGCCTTATTGGAAGAAGAGTGTGAGAAGGATTTCCATAAAGAATTTCTGGAATACTCCCTTCCTGGTTTATAGCTTCTGCTGTCCCGAAAGGACCGATCCTTGAAGTGCTTAGTCTTCCAGGAGGAGGGAAATCTCTTTCTGCTTACTTGAGGTAAAAATGCTTTTTTCCTATCAGCAGCTTTTTGAATAGCCTCCTCCTGAATGTTACCAAATAGGAGATCCCCCTGGAAGGGAAGGCCACACAAGGATGCCTTAGATGCATAGTCCGCTCCCCACGAATGAAGCCATAAAGCGCTTCTAGAGGCCACAGACAGAGCCATACTTTTGGCAATCATGAGAGTGATGTCCAGTGAGGTTTCCGAACAGAAAGCCGTGGCAAGGTTAAAGTCCTTGAGATGTCAAGAGATGTTCCCTACGGACACCCCGATCAATGTCTTCCTCCAAATTGGCAAGCCATACTTTCAAGGCCCTGGAGAGAGTGGTATGTGCCACTGCCGGATGGAGGACGGAACCCAATGCCAAATAGGCTTTTATGAGATCCCCATCCATACGCTTCTCCATAGGCTCTCTCAGATATACCATGGAGTTAATGGGAAGCGTAGTTTTCTTCACCATATGAATCACTGCAGCGTCAATTTTAGGAACTGAATTCCATAAGTCGCAGTCAACCGCAGAATAAGGATAAATCCTTGAGAATTTATTTTTCAAGGTGGACTTCCATTCAGGCTTGTTCCATTCTTGAAGGATCATATCCCTGATCGAGGAATGTACCGGGAAAGTAGGTCTATTCGGTTTTAGGTCCTCAAAGAACCTGTCAGCCTCTCTCAATTCAGACTTCTCCTCCTTGAGGCTAAGAGTGTCCCTGAGAAGGGTAATAAGTCTATGAATAGACTTTGAGTCAAAAGACCTGGAGGTGTATTCCACCTCCTCCTCGTCCTCTGAGACCTCCTGCAGGTCAGGGTCTTCTGCAGAGCTGGAAGACTGATGTTCCGCTCTGCGTCTCTTGCTCGGACCACAGGGCACTGTGGTAGACTTAAAGCCCTCAGCAATAGCTTGGGAAATCCATAGTTTAAGGTCATCCTGTGGAGAAACACTATTGGGAACATCCGCCACTTCCAATAAGCAATCCCTGCATAGATTTCTTCCTTGCGGTGCAGGTGATGAACAGTTAATGCATTTATTGTTTTTCCCCTTGATTTCCTTGCAGGAGAATACAAATGTCTGCTGGGGCTGAAACGAAGCCGTATATAAACATATATTACAGGCTCAATTGGCACTCTTTTTAACAACCCCCCCATCACAACAAAAATGGCTCACCTATGTTTTCTAGAGAGGGATCTTGCAGAGGCAGAGGGGGAATCCATACTACAAAGGAAATTTAAAGAAAAAGTAAAACACAAGTCCCTGCATAGATGACTTCCTCAGAAAGAAAGACAGCAGCAAACTGACCAGCAAATTCTCAAACAAGGAACACAATCAGAAAACAAAGAATCCTACCTGATAAAGACAAAACCACTCCAGACAGCCAAGCACAGAGCCAAGGAGCAGAATCTGAGCACACAGGAACAACTTCTATCAACAGCTAACTCCGCGAGCAGGCAGAGAACCAGGATCCCCAAGTTTAAATAGCGCCGGGAAAACCTGCTGCTCAGCGCATGCGCAGACCCCCTGGAATGCACGCGTTCCAGCCAACCACACTGGCCTCACCAGAAACCTACAGGAAACAACAGAGGGCACCCCTGCTGCAGCACAATATTCCACCCCCAGGAAAGATCACTCAGCACACAAGTAAGTTAACAGGATCCCCCCACAGGAGGACCTCCATAGTATGGATCCCAAACACTGCCACCAACGCTAAGGGAGGGAATTTTTAGACCCCAGTTGCTAGGGGCAAGACAAACAACAAGGGGAATTTTCAGGGAGGACCAACCCCATATTCTCAGATTACCTGTAGCCGTGTTTCCCTCAGAACACCAATTCCCACGCAGCAGTTCAGTACATACACTGATCCTGACCCAGTTAGTCCTGCTCATGCAGGCTGTTTACTGGGTCCTTCAAATGAAGAGAGGCTGAACTTCATTTGGAACGAACCCACGACAAACGCAGGAAGGTGGCCATAAAATAAAATGTAAAAAGTCCTGTAGAACTTGCTAAGGACAGGAAAAAAGACTGAGGTGTAAGGGGAGGAGGGACTCCATATACACATCAGTCTAATTAATCTAATTAATTCCTGTCCTGTGACTGCTAAGGGAGGAGCTACCCATAAGTTATGCTGCCATGATTAGCCAGGAAATACTTTTTATAATAAATAGCAGTCCTTTTGCACCTGATCCCTGAGTCCGGCTTTCCATACTCGCAGCTTCACTGCTACAGAAAGAAGGCATTTTGGATTAGCCCCCCACATATATCGGGTGAGGCACCCTAAAGCGATTTATCTAACTTCATCCTGTGAGTGCTCCTTTATTTTGTGCCATTATTTTATGTTCTACAATGTTACACTATCTACACGATCTACAGCTATATTCTCCATTGTATTCGCTGCTTCTGGAGGTAAAGACACTGACAATCCTTTATTGGTACACACAGCTTTTAAGCACAGAACCCCACAGGGGGTCTGTATTCAGTCCAACACAATCCTTTGTCCCAGGCAGGAGAAGGGGGATGGGTTACAGATAAACATCTCCTGCTCTGGGAGATACCAACAGGACACAGTTTCATACATTAAAACCTATTATAAACAGTAAAACATCTTACATATATGGGAGAACACTTAGGGGCTCTGCACCCCAGGAAGAGAATGGGGTACACACATGAAACATACATCCCTAGATAGCCCCAGGTCCAGCTAGGATCCCTGCAAACAGCAGGGCTATCAGATGTACAGAGCCCAAGAAACCATTGTGTAAAGTCTGGGGCCCAAGGCTCTGTAATCCCCAAAATCAGTTCCACAGCGTTGCATGGTTTGGTCCGGTGAATTCAAACTTTGCGCCCAAACCAGCAACAGCCAATCAGCGCTCAGGGAGGAGAGGGGTTTCACCGCCCAATCAGCAGAAAAGGTGCAAAACCCTGTTTGAATGGGAGCTCCTTCTCCTGACTGGTCAGCACGGACTTCCAGGCGGCCAGCATGGCTCTGTGGCTGTGAAGCCGACTCACAGCTCCAGGGTCTCTGCTGGGGCTCGCACCTCTTTTCGGTGACTTCCTCCACCTCGGCAGCCCAGGGGAGAGCGCACCTTGTGCAGCTACAAGCCTGGCCTTTGAAGCTCTCGAGAGGGGAAAGTAGTAATTATAGCTCCGTTAAGAGCAGGTGGGGAGACCCGAACTGCCAGTACCCCCAGGGACCCGTTCGTGGAGTCCCGGTGCAAAGATCCTGCAAGAGAATCATCTCCTCTCGGGATACGAATGCTCCCCCTGCGTGGCGTTCGCCTATCTGAATGAGAGCATTCATTAATTACTTCCCTTGCGGTTTCACACTTATGATGCAATGGTCCTTGGCTGTCATCATCAAAACGGACAATCTTAGTCAATCCAATGCTTTCCCAGCACTGACCCAGATAGCACCTCTAGTGGCCGTCTGAGTGACTGCCACGGAGTGTGTCCCAAGGGAGTGTATTTTTGGTGTTTTTTGTTCTAAACAATAATGTAAATATGGTCTTATATCTGAAAAATCAGCATTTACATTAAAAAAAAAAAGCCTGTAGGGACTGACTATACTCACCAGGACTAATACATTAAGGTGTAGATAAATTATAGGAGCACTAGTCTTCAAGTCACAATGTTGGTAAGAATTCACGAAGTGAAGAGAATGTCAATCCAGTTAGCCACATCCTGTTGTTATGAACTTGACGCTATGACACCGGTTTCAATAAACAGAAATCAAGTGTGGTTGCTAGAGGAAAGGACTTAAACAAATCTCTTCCGGTAACAGGTAATCCTTAACAATGTCCAGGGAATAGACGGAAGTTAGCTTTTTAACAAAGTCTGGGTTGTTACTAGAAAATCCAATCGAGGTATTAAGAAAAATATGCAATCTTTCATTCAAGCTAGAGTTTGTTCACAAGTAATCTGCATTCTTGGTGTTCTTCCAATATTGTTGGCTTCCTATCAGCGTCTTTGCTCCTGTACCAACGGTTTAAATCCAATAGATAAGACTAAAGCCAAAAGTCTGTTGCTAAAAAAAACCTTTAATACGTCCATATTACTTGACAAATTCCGGATGAGATTAGTATCAATGATTGGTGCTGGGGTTTATACTTGAACTTATTGCAAAGAGAGATTTAAAGCATAAACAAACTAATGCCTATAATGAAAAATGTAACACATTGAAAGAGAAACTTAATTTTAATGTCATGCATTTAGAAAGTCAGAACGTGAAGATGCCAATGTTTTCTTAAAGGTAGACACATATAAGCAAACGGGCACCTGTCATGCCCCAAACAATTTATGCTCATTAGACTGAGCATAGTTTTTCTAGCACATGTATAGATTAGGTCAGGGACATAGGTGTCTGCAGGAATTTTTCCAGGGGGGAGGGGGGAGGGGGCATAATTGTAATGACATCCATGCTTGGCCCCTTTTTGACAGTGCCATGAAGGGGAGGAACATAATCATTATCACATAAAGCCAGGGTGAATAGCGTTTTCACAACTATGGTGTCAGGAATACATGTTTGTATTCCTGACACTATAGTGTTCCTTTAAGCAAATTAAAGGAACATTCTGGTCACCATAACAACTTCATCTAAATGAAATTGCTATGATGCCAGGAGCCCCTGGGTGCTCTTTCCTTTAAGGGGTTAAACCGCTCTCAAATGGTTTAACCCTAAAGGCTTCCTCCAGCTCCAGGTCTCTCAGTGGTATTCGGCATCTGAAACGGAGTGTCAGGAAGTGCAGATTGACTTCAGGCATGGGTGCCGCTGATTGGCTAGAGTGCACAGTTGACGCTCTAAGCCAATCGCTAGTTCCCGGTTCATAAAAATGTTTTACTTTTTTATGAATGAAGAGCTACTGATTGGCTTAGAGTGCCAGCTGACCGCTTTAGCCAACCAGCAACACCCCTACCCAGCGGCCCTCTGTGCTTCCTGACACACAGTAAATAAAAGTGACAACATTAACACTGATATTTTTTTTTACCTGGGGAGATAAGAAGGTCCAGAGTTTCCCTGCCAGGCCCAGGTACCAAAGCCTTATGATGTGGTGTCCAGAATAAAGTGGAGGGTTCACTTCATTTGTCCTTCCTGCTCCAATCTCATTTTCTTCTCCTTCATTTGACAGTCTTCTTTTTCTTCTGACACTGTATTCTATCCTTGCCTCCTTCTGCTCCTTTACCTTTCTGCTACTTTCTGCTTATTTTGCACCTTTTGCTCCTTTCTCATTCTGATTCCTTTCTGCTCCTTCTACTTTACATTTGTGCTCCTTGTTGTCCCTTTCTGCTTATTCTCCTACTTTACCT